TAGAAGCCGGGGTGATGGTTGGAAGCCGTCCGCCTTTTTAGAAGCACCCCGCGGTCTTAGAAGACCACGCCCCACGCGCCAACCCGTCGTGCGCGCCGCCAATGTGGGTCGACTATTTGGCTCATGTGGATCCTTGCTGGGCCCCCAGGGATCTCCCAGGACGTCGGGGGGCCTCCCAAGGCTCGGCGGCGAGCGAGGAGGGAAGTGAGAAGGTGTAGACCTTCTCAGAAGGCGACAGGGCCGTCCACTGCATCCGAATCGCCCTGGCGACAGCGGGATCATTCCTCTCGCGCACCCACGCAGCTTCGCCTCGCCCGCACGCACGACATCAACACGAAATCGAAACCGATTTCCGGGTGGGGGGCTCTCCGTGCCACTGCGATCTCACCCCCCAACTTCCGATCCCCGAGCTGCCACCGACAGGCACAGCGCCCAGTGGCACGCCGCCCGGCGCTGCGTTTGGAGCCCCGCCGCCCAGCGTGCCGTTGCCAGGTGTTGCGCCGCCTGGCGTGGCGCCGCCCAGCGTGCCGCTGCCGGGTGCGGCGCCGGGCGTGGCGCCGCCCAGCGTGCCGCTGCCGAGCGCGGCGCCAAGCGCGGCGCCGCCAAGCGTGCCGCTGCCAGGCACGTCGCCAAGCGCAGCGCCGCCCAGCGTGCCGCTGCCAGGCACGTCGCCCAGCGCGGCGCCGCCCAGCGTGCCGCTGCCGGGCACGTCGCCCAGCGCGGCGCCGCCCAGCGTGCCGCTGCCAGGCACGTCGCCCAGCGCGGCGCCGCCCAGCGTGCCGCTGCCAGGCACGGCGCCCAGCGCGGCGCCGCCCAGCGTGCCGCTGCCAGGCACGGCGCCCAGCGCCGCGTTCCCTGGCGCGCCGCTGCCGGGCACGGCGCCCAGCGCCGCGTTCCCTGGCGCGCCGCTGCCGGGCACGGCGCCCAGCGCCGCGTTCCCTGGCGCGCCGCTGCCGGGCACGGCGCCCAGCGCCGCGTTCCCTGGCGCGCCGCTGGCCGGGCACGGCGCCCGGCGCCGCGTTCCCTGGCGCGCCGCTGCCGGGCACGGCGCCCGGCGCCGCGTTCCCTGGCGCGCCGCTGCCGGGCACGGCGCCCGGCGCCGCGTTCCCTGGCGCGCCGCTGCCGGGCACGGCGCCCGGCGCCGCGTTCCCTGGCGCGCCGCTGCTGGGCACGGCGCCGGCGCAAGGCGCCACATTCGTTTGGTCGGGACAGGTGTTGCCAGAGGTGCCCCAGGCCCACGGTGGCCCTCAGGGATAAGGTTGGGGGCGATAGGCTCAGGGGGGATGCATCGACCCCCAATCGCCCATTCGTCGCGATGGCCCACCCAGCCCAGGAGCGTACGGATTCGCTATCGGGGCCTGTCCCCGATCTATCGGCGATGCAACGCCGATTCTAGGTCGATGCTTCCCCCCCGCTGACGTTCCCTTTCAGACCCCAGGTGCTCCAGGGACGCACGGCCTCGGATGAGGCCCGCGGCTTCTCTCCGGGGAGGCCCGAGGAGGGCGGAAGGCTGGTTAACCACCTCGGGCCAGGGACAGTTCGGTCAACACCATAATCATGTGGGGGCATTGAGGGGGCCGTGCAGCCAAGACGCGAAGGCGCCTTGCATCGAAGAACGAAGGCACAAACATATTCGTTTGGCGTTCCGCGCAGATTTCTTGGATCCGCGCTGGGCCCCATCTGGCGGCGCCGCCCCCGGCGCGCTCCGCGCGCTAGGGAGGGGGACCCAGCGTGTATCCAAAAAATCCGCGCGGAGTGCCAAAAGTTTATGTTCATGTCGTTTCTCTTTTTCTATTGCAATGAATTTTGGAGCCGGCTGGGAGGCTGAGGCCAACCGAGGTTCCGGCCAGCAGAATTGGAAGAGAAGGCGGCCCCCTCGTCGACAAGGCTGCACGCGGCCTGAAACATTTTCTTGGCTCGACCCCAAGAGAGGTGTGAGCACCGATTTTGAGCAAGAGTTCCTTCGTCCCCCCCTCTTGACCGACCTTCATTCCGTTGGGCTTATCCAGCTCCAAACGCCCTGCCGCCTCGTGATCGTTGTTTTATGCATTATTTTGCCGATCGGCGCGCCCCCCCCCTGGAGTAGATCTTGGCTGTTTATGTTGCGCCTGTTTCGAGCGGGTGGGGACCCTCTCCCATAAGACGTTTTGCTGTAGACAGCCGCACTAAGCAGAGGTCAGGAGCCAGACCCCCCCCCCTCCCCTCCCCTTCCGCCCAATGTCGAAACGGCGAGTAAAAAGAACACTCACCAGAATCAACCAACCGCCCACCCGTCTCGGCTCTCGCAAGCGAGGCCGCACGCGCTGCATGTTTGAGGTTTCCGAGAGCGTCGCAGAACCACTCGGCACGCCCAAACACTTGTCTTTCGAAGGAGATTTGTGCTCGTGTTGTTATTCATTCTTTTGCCGATCGGCGCGGGCCCTCGCACCCTCCCTCCCCCCGCCCCATGGAGTAGATCTTGGCTATTTATGCTGCGCCTGTTTCGAGCAGGTGGAGTCTCCCCCCATGGGGCGCACTCTTGCAAACAGACGCACTAAGCAGAGGTCAGGAGCCAGACCCCCCCCCTTCCCCCCCCTTCCGCCCAATGTTGAAACGCCGAATAACAAAAACGTTCACCATAAGATTTCGGGAACGGCCCCAGGAGTCCTCCAAAGGAGTCCCAGCAGGATCCCAGGAGTTTGGGAACGCCAAGTCAAGAGAAACGTCAAAGAGAAATACGTAACAAGAGAGCCCAAAAGTAGGGAAAACTAGTCGATAGCGGCTGTCCGTTGGGAGGCCTCTCGTGGGGCCTATCTCGGGGCCCCCTTTGGGTTGAACTTAGACCGTTGCACCGGTAAGGCATGTGGGGCCAGAAGAGACAAATAACATTGATTGGAATCATGGAGCGCTTGGCGCGGGCCATCTGAAGGGGTCTTCGGAGCTCTTTGAGGCGTGGAGTTGGCTCTTGTTCAGGGGGTCATCTTGAAGCCAGTGAATCTTGTTATTATGGAGACCACGCTCCCACAACAAAAGTCCATGGCCGTCCTGGGGTCTCAGGGTTGGGCTTCTTGTGGAAGGTCTCTTGTGGTCGGGACCCTACTGTAGGGAGCTTGTCAGAAGGCCGGGGGACTTCCGAGCCTTCTGAGAATCGAGGCCTCCTACATGGGAGCAGAGCAGATAGGGTCGGAGGATCGCGCCGCATCGCCGATGCATCGACCGCCGATGCATTGGCGAAGTTGGCGACGCATCGGCGACGTCGGCGTGGAGAAAATCGGGCTCCACATCGAGCTGCATCGCCGATGCATCGGCGATGCGGCGCGATCCTCCGACCCCATCGACTCGGACCCCATCTAGGAGGCCTCTACCGAAGGCCGGGAACCTTCCCAGCCTTCTGAGAATCTAGGCCTCCTAGATGGGGGCGGGGCAGACGGGGTCGGAGAATCGCCCCGCATCGCCGATGCATCGGCGATGCTGCTCGATGCAGGGCCCGATTTTCTTCGCGCTGGCGTCGCCGATGCATCTGCGACGTCGCCGATGCATCGCCGATGTATCGGCGATGCGGCGCGATCCTCCGACTCCATCGACTCGGACCCCGTCTAGGAGGCCTCTGCAGAAGGCTGGGGACTTCGAGCCTTCTGAGTCGGGAGCCTTGAGACGGGGGGTTAATGCAAACGGGGTTCATCAGCCAAAGCGCCCGATCTTGCAGGATCCTGCAGGAGCAGGGTCGCATTGACTCGGGCTTGGGTGCAGGATCCTGCAGCATCGTGCAGGATCTTTCGAATGGTGCCGGATTTAGGCACAGGATCTTGCAGGATTCTGCAAGGCCTGACTGACCCGGGTCTGGATTGACCCAGAACAGAAGATCCCCGACTGAGAAGGCCCGCCCCCGCCCGGGCGCGCCGCCCGGGCGCGCCGCCGACAGGCAGCCAGAGCATGGGGCGACCAGGAGGCGCCTCCGGGCGGCCACGTCGCCGATCGCCCATCTGTCGGCCATGCATCGCCGATGGATCGGCGATTCATTGTGGGAGGCCTACCGCCGATCTATCGGCCATGTATCGCCGATAGACTGGCGATTCATTATGGGAGGCCTATCGCCGATCTATCGGCCACCCCCCCCCGCGCCAGTCCCCCCCTATCGTTGCCCCTCACCCGAGAAGGCCCGCCCCCTCGCGCTTCCCCCCCGCCCGGGCGCGCCGCCGACAGGCAGCAAGAGCATGGGGCGACCAGGAGGCGCCTCCGGGCGGCCACGTCGCCGATCGCGGATCTATCGGCCTTGTATCGCAGATAGATCCCCTATCGTTCCCCCGTTGGATGTCCCGGATGGATGCCAGATCTCGTCCAGTCCATCCAGTTTTGATGGCATCCAGGGTAGGGAGATGCCATCCTGTAGAGGCTGGACGTCCATCCAGTTCCGATTCCATGTTTCGCCGTTCCCCCCTATGGCAGCCCCCCCCCGATCGTTGCCCCTCACCTGAGAAGGCCCGCCCCCTCGCGCTTCCCACCCCTCGGGCGCGCCGCCGACAGGCAGCCAGAGCGCGCCTCCGGGCGGCCACCTGCCGAAAGCTCGGAAGCACCGGCCAGTGCCCTCTGCACACGGGTCGGGGGGGGCCCTTGGGTGCACGCATTGATCGGGGCTTGTCTGGCTGCCCAGACCCCCTCGAGTCGTGAAATAATCACGACCGGAGTTTTTGGTAGTTTCGGCCCTCTTGCGGGGCCTTGGAACCATCAAAAAACGATTCAGGATGAAGAACCGGTCCCGAGGAATTGGTCGAGACCTCTGGGGGTCGACGTCATGCAAAAATCATGACGTCGGGGTCTCGGTGACAAGCCTGTCGTCAGGGTGGGGCTGGGGGCTGGGGGCCTTCCAGACGGACTTCGACAAACCAGGACTTCAGCAAGTCGGGGAAGCGACTTGCCAGAGTCCTGGTGTGAGCTCGACAGGCCAGGACTTTGGCGGGTCGCTTCCCTGACTTGCCAAAGTCCTCGCCTGTCGGTCCCGACGGACTTTCGGACACCGCCGCAGGAGACCTGTTCGGCGCCCCGACGCCAGCCCCCGCTGCCCCGGCGACGTCGGCTGGTGGGCGGCCGCCTTGCGCGATTCTCGCCTTCAGTCCCAGGCGCTTTCCGCTAGGACTGGGGCGACCAGAGGGTTCCAAAGAGGGTTTTGGGGGAGGGGGTTTTCCAGGAAGGGTCCCCCAGGGGCTTCGCACTCCCTGCTTCGACGAGGTTCCGAGGCCCCTGGGGGGGCTCTCTGGAAACACCCTCCCCGAAAACCCTATTTGGAACCCTCCGCTGGGTTCAAGTCGGGCCTGTCCCTCTACAGGAAGAATATTCAAAACTAGTTAAAAAATAGTCTGGGTACGATCTGTTAGTAATTAGTTGTTGACTATTGTTGAGTATGTTTCAATATGTTTGACGTTCCATCAAAATCCGCCGGTAGGGGGACATGCCCGACCGAAGACTGGGTCGAGGATCGAAGATTCGTATGGTTTGTATGTTTTGGGGCTCCTGCTTGCACATCCAGGGGACCTCTCGTCGCCACGGCTGGATTCCCTTCGCAGTCCAGGGCACAGCGAAAACCATGGACAGGTCTCGGGGTCGACTTTAAGGGGGAAGAGGAACAGGAGGAGGAGGAGGAATAGGAAGGAGGAGGAGGAGGAGGATGCGGACCTACACCTCACACGTCTATAGAAAAAACAGGCAGGCGCAAGGTTTTCGCTACCGTCGTGTCCTGGACCGCCGAGAAGAGCGATCCAGGACGAAGAAGCGGTCCCCAGACAAGCAGGCGAGAGGTCCGGGGGGAGGGTGGCAGGTCTCGGAGAATCGAGCGGGCAGACTCGGGAACGGGTGTCCCGCGCTGGCAGGGGCTCTGTCCCGGACCTCCAGGTGATCGTTGTCTTATTCATTGTTCTGCCGATCGGCGCGGGCCCTCGCACCCTCCCCCTCCCTCCCCCCCCCAGAGGTCGCATGAAGCAGAGGTCCGGAGCCAGACGCCCCCCCGCCCCCCTCCCTTCCATCCAATGTCGGAGCGCCAAATAAGAAAACACTCACCAGGAGCCCGTGTCTTTATTGCTTGGGGCATGACGGGCGTCATGGCCCCCGCTACCCCCCCCTTTGACGTAACGCTCCCCCCCACCAGTGCGCTCCGGGCACTGCCGCCGTGCGCGCGGACGCGGCTGAAACCTGTTTTTTGTTTTATCCCGGGCCGATAGCGGCAATCATGTAGGGGGGGAGGGGGTCGATGACGTCACGTTTCGCGCCGGCGGCGTCTGTGAATGTCGAAGGATGACGGAGGACGGGTAGCGCCAGCATGTAGGTGGCGATTTGCACCAGAACGTCTGTGTACACCACAGTGCCTGCGTGCACCACAGTGCCTGTGTACACCATACCGCCTATGTTCACCACAGCAGCCGCGTGCAACACAGCGTCAGTTTGTGCCACCGTGCCTGCGGGCACAACAGCTCTGGTGCACACCACAGCGTTTGCGTACACCACATCAGCCGGGTGCAACAGAGCACCAATGCACACCACAATGCCTGCGTGCATTGCAGTGCCTGTGTACACCACGGCGCCTGTGTGCACCAGAGCTACCGTGTGCAACACAGCACAAGTGTTGCATATAGAATGTTATAACGAATCCTTATGACAAAATGGAGCGCTCGTAGATCCCACAGGAAACATTAGAAACATATCCCTGTGGACAACGGAGCGCCGCTGGAATCTACGAGTCCTCCCGAGCCCGCCCGCATCACCCGAACTCCTCCCATCTGAGTCCAGGAGGCTCCAGCTAAATTGGCCGTCCGAGAACCAAGTGGACCGATTCAATCAACCATTCTGCGGTGCCCGCTGAGATGCGCACGTGTGCTGTAGCGCCAACCCGCACGACAGGGGTAAGGAGGAGGGGGAGGAGGAGGAGGAGGAGGAAGAGGAGGAGGAGCAGGAGGAGGAGGAGGAGGAGCAGGAGGAGGAGCAGGAGGCGAAGGAGGAGGAGGAGGAGGAGGTGGTGGAGGTGGAGGAGGAGGGAGGAGGGAAGAATGCCGCGTTCGATGATCAGCACTTTCCTGGCGTGGCGTCTAGTTGTCCGCAGCAGATTCTCACGTACATGCTCCTTCTACTTGTCCTATGCGCGCAGGAATTGTGGTGTACACCGCTGCGTTGCACGCGGATGCTGTGGTGTAGACACGCGCTGTGGCGTGCACAAGCGCCGCGGTTCACGCAAGCACTGTGGTGTACACAGGCGTTGCGTTGCACATGGTAATTGCGGTGTACACATGTACACCGGCGCTGTAGTGTACGCAAGCACTGGTGTACACAGGCGCTGCGTTGCACACGCTTGTTGCGGTGTACGTAGGCGCTGTGGTATACACGCGCGGTGTGGTGCTTGGTGCACGCGAGCGTTGTTGTGTACACAGGCGCAGTGCGGCATATCGCCACCTACATGCTGGTCGCGTCGTCGTCGTCGTACTCATCGTTCGTCGCTCGTCGCTCGTCGCGTCGCGCGCGCGGGCGCGGGTGCGGTGCCGGAGCCACACACACACACGGCGGGGGGGGGGGGGGGCGTTACGTCATACCCCCACATCCCCCCCCCATGACGCCCGCCATCGCGGCATAAAGAAAAGCGCTCGCTCCAGGTGAGAGAGCCGTGCCCCGAGGAAACAACGGTTGTGCCGATCATGTGCAGCGCATTAAGCGGTGCGTGCATTGTCGCTTCGAGCAGCGACGGCCGTTGAAAGACGCCGGGGTCTAAGTTCGAACGGCGGCGGGTGGTGGTTCCATTTTTGGAACGTCCTCGCCAAAGTCAACTAGGACCAGGATAACCCCTTGAGGGGCCCTATTGTTTCGATGTCCCCCCCGGGTTCTCTCGGCGGTGAGTGAAATTGGTCATTCCTCTTCCTCCTGTTCCTCCTCCTCCTCCTCCTCCTCCTCCTCCGTAGCCATCTTGGCTTAAGGTTTTGTGTTTCCCAGGGAAACAAGTGAATACCGCTAGTCCGCGGCCAGTGCCAGGGCTGTTGCAGCCCGACAATCCTTTCATTTACCTGCCACCCTCAGGCCCGCAGGTGCCTTCGCCCCAGGTCACAGGGGCTGGTCGATGGCGCCATCTGGTCACCAGCAGAATCGCATTCAGAATGCGCATGCTTGGCTCTGCAAGTGGTGTACGAACGACAAGACGGGCGAGAGATGGTGGAATCGGGGGGATTGCACGCACTGCGAGGCGCGCAAGCTCGCCAAAGGTGTTGCCTACTTCGGCCCGCGCCCACCTGCAGGTGGCAAAGGGTCGAGCGCGTCGCAGGCCCCATCGGTCTCTTGCTGCCGAGCGCCGCGCTGCCACCGAAGGTGAGCGTCTCAAGAAGGAGGCCGCCGCCAAGGATCGGGAGATTCCGGATTTCAAGAAGCAGCTCGAGGCCTCCAAGCAGTCAGGTGGTGGGTCAGCGGCCATGCAGGTCGACAGCTCTGGTGACAAGACCGTCGGCTCGGAGTCCGACAAAGCGGTGCTCAAACGGCTCACTGCCGCCATCGCCGCCATCGGGGACGCCCCCGACGAGTTCCTGGCGTCACGCAAGGCTGCGATGGTGGCGGAGCAGGAGAGGCTCAGGGCCAAGATCCTGGCCGACAAGCCGATCAGCGCCCGCCTCCACCTCCTCACGAATCGCTGCACGGCGCTCGAGAAGAAAAAGGAGCGCCAGCTCGCAGCCCTGGACAAGCTCCACGCGCAGATCTACGCGAGCCAGTTGTCGGTCGCCGAACCGGAGAAGGCGCTGCTGGAGACGTCCAAGGAGCTTGTGGCCGCCGAGGCGGACAGGCGAAGCGCTGCGGCGCTGGCGCCCCGCCCTGAGGCTGGTGTCTACTCCCTGCAAGCGACGATCCCCGCCTTGGACATGTCGGTCGCCGACGTTGGCAAGATGCTGGAGGCGATCGGTGCGGATTCGTCGTTGGCCGAGTCGATCCAGGCTAACTTCGCGAAGCTGCGTGAGCTCGATGCTGCTGCAGCGGCGCGGAGCCGCCAGCAGGAGAGAGCTGCTCCAGCCGAGACGCCCGCCAGCGCCGCGGCGAGCTGCGCAGGTCCTGAGGATGACGATGACGCCTGCTTCCTGTCCCTGCTGATGACGGCGATCTGGCCGAGCTGCAAACCTTCTACCGCGAGCTCTTCGACGCCGAGCCCCCTGGCTGTGAGGAGGAGCTGCGAGGACACATCAAGCGGTTCGGCGAGCAGCTCAGCAGGGCGTCGAAGAGGCCTCGCACCGCCAACAAGTAAGCTGTGGCTGGGCGTTTCGATCCTGCTGCAGCTCCTCAGCTCCGCTGGTGCGATGCCGAGGTGCCACGACGGGCGTGTGCTGCCCGTTCACATGCCCCCGCAGGCGGCTGCCGCAGCCGCGGGAGCGAGGGCGGCCCCTGGGGCAGGGGACGCGGCCTTTGCTGCATCGCGGCCTGCGTTTTCGGCGTCTTCAGGGCTCGGCGGCGCGGATATGGCTGGTGCATCCTGCGGTACCGCACTCACCCGCGACGCCGAGGGCACCAGCAGCCCGGGGCACCTCACGCGAGCGGGCAGAGGGGTCAGGAAGGCACCAGCACATCCTCGCGGTGGACGTGGAGATGCCAGTTTGCTCCAGTAGGCAGCCGCCGCTGCCGCTGGAGATGGGGCGGGCCCTGGGGCAGGGGACGCGGCCCCAAGATGCGAAGTGGCAGCTGGAGATGGGCCTGCGCCCAAGTTCCACCTGCCAGACTACATGTCTCCGAGATCGGGCGCCGTGGTGCTCGAGGCGCCGGGGGCCCCCTCGTCCAAACCCTTTGTCACGCGCGGTGATCGAAATTTATCACGCACAGTGCCAGGTCACAGTGACGTATCAGGCAGGTCGAGCACTCCGAGTCTGATTCGAGGAGTGGCCACAGCTAGCACATCCTCCCACGGACCGCTGTTAGATATGTTGAGCAGTCACTGTGTTGATAATTATCGGATATTGGTGCAGGAGCACCACGCGAGAGGAGACCGTTTTGCTGAGTTGCAGTCCAAGGCGGCCGCCATAGGTTTTCGAGGTGCGTGGGTGGAGGCGACTGACACAGGCAGAGAAGGCTCATGCGGTGGTGTAGCCGTGATCGCCCCTGCTCACGTTCTGGCCCCAGCCCCTCCTCAGCGCGCCCACCACGTGCTGATCCCAGGGCGCCTGGCGGCTGCGCACGCCAACTGGGGCCGTGCAGGCGGCGTTGTCCTGCTCTCCGTGCACCTAGCAGTCGGAGAGGGCCTTGGAGCCCAGAACCTGGAGATTGCGCAGGCGGCCGTTGACTATGCCAGCCAGCTGTCGCGCCAGGGCATTGCGTGGGTCATAGGCGAGGACTGGAACATGGAGGGCGACCTGCTGGACGACTGGTTCCACGCGGCAGGAGCTATCCGAGTGGCGCCCCTGGTTCCCACATGTGCGCAGTCGCTCCCAGGCACTGTGCGCGACTTCTTCTTCGTATCTTTGTCCCTTGCCCCTGCCGCGGGCGAGCTGGCCGTCGAGGAAGGGACCGACCTCTTTCCGCGCAAACCCGTTCTTCTGGAGTTGGGCATGTCTGAGAGAAGCACGCGTCGCCGCGTGCTAGATGAGCCACAGAAGTTTGGAGCTGAGCCGAAGGTCGGCTGTGCGAGGTTCCCACCAGTCGAGGAGCGGGCCCAGATCCAGTCGCTCATCAGCCACGCCGCCTCTGAAGATGAGTTGGCTCATCGCTGGGGCGACGTTCTAGCAGGCATCGAGGCTGAGCTCTGCGACCGCAACGACATCGCGAAGGCCTCAGTGCGGCATAAGTTATGCGGGCGTGCTGGCCCACCTTCGCATTCGTGGATGCCGCTGCTGAAGCAGGCCCCCCTCTGCCGAAGGCGGAGCTTTGCGTGGCGAACTCTGGGCCGATGGTTGCGCCATTTGCGCTCGGTCCGCACCAAGTTGCCTCAGCTTGCCGTCGAGTGTGCTTCCGACCCCACGGATGGCAGATTGGAGCAGATATCCAAGCAGTTCGATGTCCTTCAGGGGCTTCTGAACCGCATATGCAAGTCGGCTTGGGTGCTGGAGGAGCCCACGGCGTCCATCAGGGAGATCTTCGTGGACGTACCAGCCAGCTTCAGCAGTGCAGGGGTCGACGACGTCGCCCAGGGTTTCCTTGATGAGATCGAGGTCAAGTTGCACGAGTGCGCCGGTGCTTCACGGGCTGTCTGGAAGCAGCGGGTCGAGCAGGCGTTCACCATGGGCGCAGGAGCTGCGCGCAAGTTCCCCCGTGCGCGCGAGGTGCAGGAGCTGATTGCGAAGACGTCTCGCCCACAGCCGTTCCAGCAGGCAGACGGCTGCCTCGCGGAGTGGGAGGAGATCTGGAAGATGCACAGTTGCGAGCGAGCGGGCCTGTCTAGAGATCACCATGACTGGGAGGCATTGCCTGAGATCTCAGTCGCCGACCTTCGCAGGGCCCGCGCTTCTTTCCCTTGCAAAACAGCTCTGTGCCAGCTCGGGTCGAACCCTAGGCCCTTGTTCGCAGTCTCCGATCAGTGCTTGCAATCGGCGGCTGATCTGTTCAAGGCCTGCGAAAGGCCCCTTGCCTGGCCAGAGTCTCGGACCCAAACCCGCTTAGTCCGCTTGCCCAGGCCCTCTGGAAGGGCATCGGTTGATTGCGTTGTTGAACTCTTTGCTCCGCCTTTGGGGGCGGGTGAGAAAACCTGTCTCCCAGGCCTGGGGGAAGGCCAAGCGTGACCCTTCTTTCTGGGGCCATGGTCCAGGGGCTAGTGCGTCCGACGCTGCTTTTGACCACAATATGGAGGCGGAGGCGGCCACGGCGGCGGGGGAGTACGCTGTGAGCGTTTTCTTGGACATGTTTAAATGCTACGAATGTGTGATTGTAGAGCGACTGTTTGCCGAAGCCAGGAAGGTTGGATAACCGCTTTGGATGATGTGGATGGCCCTTGCATCCTATCGGTACCCGAGGGTGATCCAGGCGTTCGGTCCCGGGTCGCGGCAGGTGGTGACCAACCAAGGCATCATTGCAGGATGTAGCCACGCCAATTCCATGATGCACGTGCTTCTCCACCGCGCGATTGTTAAGATGAGGACCCTTTACCCCGCGGGCAGGCCCAGAGTCCTCATGGATGATTCCAGTTTCCAGTGGGTTGGCAGGCTGTTAAAGTTTAGTGAGATCCTACTTGCCGAGGTAAGATGGTACTGCAGCCAGGTCTTTCAGCTCGGTTTAATCCTCCAAGCGGCCAAGAGTGGGTACGTGGCTACGGCGGTGAAAGTGTCGTCGAACCTGTCGTCGTCGGCCCGTCTGGTCAAACTCCGCAGCCACGCCCATATGCGCACCCTTGGCCATGATGTTTTTTTTTTTTTTCTGGACGGCCGGTGCGGGCCCAAGAAAAGCTCCGTCTCAAGAAATTGCTTCGGCGTCGGGACAAGTTGTCGGCCCTCCGTCGAGCTGCGCCTAGCAAGGTGAGTCTTTCTATGGCGCACGGAGCTTATGCCTGCTGGGTCGCATGGGGCTGGGGTCTCTGGGCTCACGGATCCGACCCTTGGGACCCTGCGCAATATGGCGGGAACCTTAGTCGGCGCGAAGCGATCTGGGTCCTTGACGGCTTGGCTGGCGACACAGCCTGACCCCTTTTATGACCCATGTTCGATGCGACGGTGCCGCTAGTCCAACGCTATGCAGCTGTAATTTGGGACTCGAGGTTCTCGTTAGGCCGACTCCAAAAAGCGTGGATGGCCGTCAAGGCACGGATCCTCGAGCGGCCGACGTGGAAGTCACGTCGTGGCCCAATTAGCGCAGTGCTGCTCAGCTTGCTCCGTGCAGGCTGGTCTATGTCTGCTGCGCACGTGCTGGTGGACGACCTAGGTTTTTTCGATTGGCCTGTTGCGAACCGCTCCGCTCGATGTGAAGGTACAGCTTCGGTCGGGGATCCAGAGGTGGCAAGCCAAGAAGATGTTGCCCCACCTCCCCCAGGCTGGTTCCGAGCGCTTGGCTTCGAGGTATGCGTATTGCTGTCCTCAAGATTCGCGACAGTGCCCGTCGCGCCGCTCTCCGCTGTCTGATCGGCAACGCCTCGTGGTCGCAAGAAAGAAAATTTGAGGCTGGCCTGAGCGACAGTAAGACGCGTACCCTGTGCGGCATGAATGTTGCAGGCTCTCTCGGCCACCAGCTTTATGACTGCAACGCCGTGTTGAACTACCCAGCGCCCCAGGGCAATTGTACTCCCGATGATGTTCTTTTGCGCAGGTCTGAGCTCAGGGACACTGGTCGTTTCGAGATGGGCCTGCAGGTTTGGGACGCGCTCGAGGCGGTGCACGGCCTGCCGCTCGACCCCGTTGCTGTCGACCCTGCCCCTGACAAGCTCCCTGTGTGCACGTGGGGCGAGGCCGAAGCGCCACGGGGGCGGCGCGTCTACACTGACGGGTCGGGGCTGCGCAGCAGCAGCCCCGAACTCAGACGGCGTGGATGGGCCGCTGTTGAGCCGGGCCCTCGTGGGACCCCGATTCGGGCTCGTTTCGGGGCGCTGCCTGGTGGCACCCAGACTGCGCTTCGGGCTGGGCGCTTCGCGGTTCTCCAGGCGTTTCGAGCCGGCCCCCTGAATGTGCACGCGGTGTCAGACCAGTTGAGCGCGGTCCTTGAGGGGCAGTCTTGGGACCCTGGCCTGGCGGCCAGTGGCGGGCGCCACGCGGCTGTCTGGAGGCAGACGTTTCAGCTTTATGGCTGCCTTGGTCCCAGGCCGTCTTTCGAGTGGACCCCAGCTCACCGCGTTTGGGATGATGTGGTCGCATCGGGATCCGAGGTCGAGGTGCAAAAATTGCTGGGGAACACCTGGGTCGATTTTTTCGCGCGGATCGGAGCTGAATCCCACGCTGCGGCCCAGACGCTTGAGAAGGTCCTGAGTCCCGTGATCTCTCAGACGCGTCTGACTTTTGACTTTCTGTCCAGATTTGCTCAGAGCATCGGTGCGCGTGCCCAGGAGCTCTCGGCCTCGCCCCCTGCCCCGAGGCGTAGAGAGCGTGAAGGTGAGTGCGGCCTCGCGCTGATCGAGCACGATCTGTATAATTTCCCGTCTCTTGGGGAGTGGCGCTGTAAGCGCTGCAATTTGCATGCCAAGACCCCCTCCCCCCTCGCCCAACTGCGCCCTGGCAGCCGCCGCCATTGTGGGCCCAGCGCGTTCCAGGCGTGGCAGGCCCAGGCGGCGTTCGTCACGCGCGAAGAGGCGGGGGTGGCTCTCTCATCGGAAGCGGCGCCTGCGGCGATGGAGGCCGCGGTGAGGGTCCCGGGGTCCTCTCCTGGCCGGGCCCAGGCGCCGCCGACCGAAACGCTCACGGCGCGGTTTGTGCCCCTGGGCCATCAGATGGAGCGGGTCGGCCGCGCGGCCTCCTGCTCGTTGCGATCGGCCCACGTTATGCTCCCAGGGGGCTTGTTACGTGGGCCAGTTCGCCGAAGGCGCGCGGGCCGTCAACGGACGCCCTGCGTGCAGAAAGGCGGTGCGAAGCAGGCATTCATTTCACCGACAGCAATTGCTATACCCAGCGGTTTGCGGCGGGCCACGGCGGCGTGTAAATGCGCAGAGAGCGATTGCTGAGTTTCGAGATGTTGTGTTGAGTGCGAGGCGCACGAGGATTTCGAAGCGAGAAATATTTCGGGCACGGGGAGATTCAACAACAGACCAGTGCGGTTGCTGAGTTGCGCGAGGCTCAAGACGCATTGGCGTAACCTTGCGACTACGAAACCAAGTATTGCATGTTCGATCTATTCGGGGAAATTGTTGACGATTCGCGTATCCTCATCAGCTGCCCTCAGCCTGTCAGCCCTCACCGCGCGGCTCAGCAGCTGCCTTGTGAGCTGGCCCGGTCGGCCTGCTTCGCGCCTAGTAGCTAATTTGGCCTGTTTCCGCGCCCTGGACAGCTTCTGACTCCGCCTGCGCCTTCGCTCGCGGACGCGACCGAAAAAGTATCCTCATCAGCCCGACGCACGTTTGCAGCCTTTGGCTGTTTGCAGCCCTGCTCCCTCCCCCTCGGCCACCTCCTGGTCTCAGCCTGAGTTGCGGCGGTTGGCCTGTTTGTACTAGGTAATGTAGGACCTCGCGCGGCCCGCCCGGACCTTGACACGCCGTCGGCGCGCTGGCCTGCGGCTGGTAACAAGAAAGTATCCTCATCAGCCAATCCAGAAACGATGCCCAGGAGAGTTGAGGTGATCAGGGAAGGGGGGAGCATGCAGAATAACAAAGGGCCGGGGAAGCCGTCCGAACCCACAAAGGGGGAGGATGGTGGAGGAGAAGGAGGAGGAGGAGGAAAAGGAGAAGGAGGAGGAGGGCGAACAGGAGGAAGGAGGAAGAGACAGTGGACAAGGAGGAGGAGGAGGACGAGGAGGAGGAGTAAGAGGAGGGGCATATTGGCGAGCCCAGGGCCGTCTTTGAGCGTTTTGGGTGCTTCGGGCATCCTCTTGAGGCCTCTTGGGGGTCTTTTGGGAGCTTCTTGGAGGCTTCCTGGATGCCTCTTAGGGCCGTCTGGGCGCCACTTGGGGCCCTCTTGGGGCACTGTTCGGAGCCTTAGGAGCGCTCTTGGGGCCTCTTGGAGGAGATCGATCAAAGAAGAGGGGTTCCCTAATTGCCCCCCCCCCCCCCCTGGGAGCCCCAAAAGTCGCCTCTTGAGGCGCGCTCTTGGAGCGCCCTTGGGCGCTCTCGGGGCCGCCTTGGGGCTCTCGTGGGTCTCTCCTGGGGCACTCTTGGGCCATCTTGGAGCCACCTTGAGGCCTCGGATGGCCATCGAAAGAAGGCGAGAACGCAAACAACAGTGAGTTCCCTTAGGTGTTGAAATGTCTCGGAGGCGTCTTTGAGCCGTCTTGGAGAGTTCTTGGGGTTTCTTGGAGCATCTTAGGAGCCGACTTGAGGCAGTTTGGGCCATCTTGAGCCAACTTGGAGGTTATCGTGGGCTCCCTGAGGCCCTCTCGGAGCCATCTTAGGCGAAACTGTACCCTCTGACACCTCGCGGGGCGTCCCGTCCAGGTAAAGGAGAGCGGGTAGGGGGGAGGGGTAATCACCTCCCCGAAGAGAAAGAAGGTGGTTGGAAGAGGAAATTCCCTAGACCACATACGCCCAGAGGGTTGGTGAGATTACCAGGTATGCCGTGCACTCCACGTCGCGAAGCAAACGGGCGTCTCCTACAAGCACACCGCATCGTCTCCTACGTGGCATATTGTCTCTCGATGCTGTGGAGTCCCTTTTGATGCCCAGGCGTCCGATACTCCAAGAAGCGAAGCATCGCAAGGCCAACACGTCTGTGAGCGTTTACAAGTGCATGGTATGCAATGTTCAATCGAGTGCCTAATCCTGGCGGCAGTCAGGACCATGATGGACGACACGTTGCGGACAAAGTGCATAGTATGGACAAACTGAGTGTGGTAAAATTCGTCGTTGGCGCTTCCATGGTTGAGCTAGCATCGACAACATTTGCGGCAAGTCATCGCCGGCCCATGCTTTGCCAACACGTTTGTGTCGCAAAGTGTCAAGCGAAAGTACGGCCACGTCAGTGAAATGCGCGTTTCCCCAGTCGTTGGGGAAACGATTTGGGAAACGCAAGGTAGGTGTGTTCTGGGGTTGTCTTGGGAATGTCTTGGGGTAATGTTCGGGTATTCGTGGCCTTCTTGGGGACCTCCTGGGGTCATCGAGGGGCTCTCTTGCATTGTTTTGGGATGATCTTGGGCCGTTTAGCGCCTTGGGAGGCCGTCGGGCCTCTCTGGGTCCTGTCAGGATCCTTTCTGATCGTGTTGGAGCTCTCGTTCCCAGTCTTGGGAACATTGTGGGGCCCTCTTGGACTGTCGTGGGGCCTCTTGTTGGTCTTTGGGGCCGTCTTGGGGCGATAGTGGGGGCCTCCTGGGCCATCTTGGGCTGCGGGAGGCCCGAGAAGGTGGTAACGCGAAAAGCATTGAACCAGTTACAGGAAAACATTATGTTTGCCTCGTGGGGCCATCTCTGTGGGTTCTCTTGGAGCCCGCTCGAGCGTCTTCGGCGCTTATTGTGCCGTTGTTGAAGCGTCTTGGGAACAGTTTCGGTTCCCTTGGAGCCATCTTGAAGGCAGTCATCTTGTCAGATGTTGATCCGTATTGGCCGTCGTGGAGGCCATTTGGGGCATTTTGGAAGGCCTTCTTGGAGACATCGTTGGCTGAAAAGCCCACGGAGTCCGCTTCACCCGGGTGGCCAATGACCACCATGAATTCTTTGGAAGGGGAAAAAACACAGACACAATTAATCGTCGACTCTCAGGAAATATGGGAAAAGATCGGAAGTGGGGGCAAAACGAAAATCCAGAAAATTTGGAACAACAAAAAAAGAAGAGGGAATATTTGGATGTGTGTGAATTTATGTGTGTGCCTCTGGGACCTTCACAAAAAGAACAATGGAGTAAAGCCTGGCATGCCAAGCATCCCCACGGCGGGCTACGGCAGCGGCGGATCCAGCGGTTGTCGGCCCATCCCACTCAATGTCTTGGATGCCCCTTGGAGTCTCTTGTCGGCGACGGGCGAGGGGGGAAAATGAAAAGGAGAAGGCCTTCTCAGAAGGCGGCGGGACTTCTCAGAAGCCCTCGCGCCTTCTGAGAACTGCGGCGCCGTGATGCTCTCACAGCAAGGACCAGGAGAGAAAAAAATACAGACACAACGAATCGCCGACTCCTAGGAAAATGTGGGAAGACATGGGAAGTGCGGGGTGAGACGAGAACCCAGAAAACATGTTAAAGATTGGGAATATTGGGATCTGTGTCTATTTGTTTGTGTGTCCCTGGCCCCCTCTACAGGACCCTGGGTGTCGGGACCTCTTCCTCAGGACCTGCTTCTCATCCCAGGCGGTTGTTTAAGAGTCCCGGCGCCCAGTGAGGTGAGGGCCCCCAGAGACCAACAACGCTACCACCAAAAACAGAACCATCCAAAAACGCAAAGGGACAGAGGCAGGGATGGGAGGAGGGAAGAGGAGGAGGAGGAGGAGGAGGAGGAGGAGGAAGGAAGGAAGGAAGGAAGGAAGGAAGGAAAGGAGGGAGGCAGGAAGGAAGCGAGGAAGGAAAGAGGAAGGAAGGAGAAAGGAAGGAACGCGGGGTCTGTCACTTCAAAACGAGGATCCAACGACAGGTTGGTTGGAAACAAAACCAAACAAACGCAAAGAGAGAGGGTTGGGGGCCTTCCTCCTCCCTCCTCCTCCCTCCTCCTCCTCTATCCTCCTCCTCCTCCTGCTCCTCCTTCTCCTTCTCCCTCCTCCCTCCTCCCTCCTCCTCCCTCCTCCTCCTCCTCCTCCTCCTCCTCCTCCTCCTCCTCTCCTCCTCCTCCTCCTCCTCCTCCTCCTCCTCCTCCTCCTCCTCCTCCTCCTCCTCCTCCTCATCCCTCCTCCTCCCGATGGTGCCGACGCCGATTGCGGCGCCGGCGACGGCGACGATCCACGCGCCCCGCAGCGGCAGCATGCTGCGCGCGTCGCCCTCCGGGTCCATCGAGGAGCTGAGAGTGCAGGAGGCGTTGGCGAAGGGAGGGGGGGGAATTTGAACCGGGGACGATGCTCGCCCGGCTTCCCTCCCAATTCATTTCCTCCTCTTCCCTTCCTCGTCCTCCTCCCTCCTCCTGTCTCCTCCTCCTCCTTTTCCTCCTTCTTTTCCTCCTCTACCTCATCCTCCTCCTCCTCCTCCCTCTCCTTCTCCTCATCTTTCCACTTCCCCCACCTTCTCACCCTCATCATCAAAAGCACTGTCTTTCGCTTCTCCTCATCTTCCCTCTTGTCCTCCTCATGTATGTCGGATTCAGGTTGGGGATGTTGCCTCAGTTCCGAGCACACTCGTTTTCTAAATTAATCATTTAGAAGGATGGAGGACTGTTTGAAAATGGAGATCTCGCGCAAGACGTCGCTAGTGTTAAAGACCCGAAGCTTCAACGCGCGTAATTATGCGCGGATCTGGGGTGGTTCTTGTTTTCGAAACGGTGTGTCGTTTTAAATTTTCTCGATGTTCATGACCACAAGTGTAAGCGACCTGTGCTAGTGTTACACGGACGGGGCGCTTTTGCATTGAAAAGGGAAGTGTATAGGGACGTACGAGGAGGAGAGTTGGGGCGGGAGGTTGCATGTCGAAGAAAATAACAGCATAAACACACGTTTGGCGCTCCGCACGCATTCCTTGGATCCGCGCTGCCCCCCCTTGGCGGTGCCTCTGGCGCCGCCCCTGGCGCGTTCTGGGGGGTCCAGCGCATATCCAAGAAATTCGCGCGGAGCGCCAAAAGATTATGGTTATTCCGCTTCTGTTTCTAGTATTAAATCGGGCCTGTCCCTCTACCCGGGGAAATGTCAAAAATAGTCACACAAAAAAACAAAAAAAACATCTGGGGACGATTGTTCTATTATGATTTGACCAGTCTTGATATTGTTTGAAGTATTTTCATTTTTCGCCCAAAATCCGCCTGTAGGGGGACATGCCCGACCTAATTCTAGTACTGCAGCATAGTTGATGCATCTTGGGTTTGCTCCAGTCATTCCTCCTCCTCCCCCTCGTCCTCCTTCCACGGCGATAAGGGAGGCGACCTGGCTGCATCGGAGGCGCTTCGCCCCCTTGTGCCCATGTACCTCCGACGTGCACGGCTTTGCTTTCCCTCCTTCTCTCTGTCTTAGTTGTTGGTTTCTCTTTCTCCCCCTCTCTCTCTCTCTCTCTCTCTCTCCAGTATCGTTCTCTCTCTCTCTCTCTCTTACGTTTTCTCTCTCTCTCTCTTTCTCTCCCTCTCCCTCTCTCTCTCTCCCTCTCTCTCTCTCTCTCGCTCTCTTACTTTCTCTCTCCCTCTCTATCTCAATATTTCCCTCTCTCTCCCCCTCTTTCGTCGATGTCCCTCTCTCTTTCTCTCCCTCTCTGTCTCTCTTTCTCTCTTACGTTCTCTCTCTCTCTCTCTCTCTGTCTTATGTTTCTCTCTCGCTCGCCCCCTAGTTACACATGATAGGCCACACTATGGCGCAATGCAATGTATGTACATGTGTCTGTGTATATATCTTTAGATATATGTATATGTATATCACGGGATGACGTGGGCATCCTTCTGCTACACGGAGTGGCGAAGGGGAGCCCGCAGGGGAGACGGAAAAAAGGGGGTCCAAGAATTTCCCCCTTCGAAGACATTAGCTCATAAACATGGGCGTTTGGAGGTCAGCGCGGATGTCTTGAATCCGCGCTGGGCCCTCCTGGCCGCGCCTCTGGCGCCGCCCCTGGCGCGCTCCGCGCGCCAGGGAGGGGGACCCAGCGCCGATTCAAGAAATCTGCTCGGAGCTCTGAAAGTTTCTCCTTACATTGGAGGCCCATGCCAAGAAACACCATGCTTGCCTCCAGGGTGCCCTGGGTTCCTTGGCTTTCAACGGTTCTTATAGCAGCTATAAGAAGCGTAGCGTCCCAACGCTTGGACGTCCTGGGGTCTCAGGGTTGTGTTTCTTGTGGAAGGTTTATCCGTAAGGGCGTCGCCCCATGCCGCCGGCCCCCTGTCTCGGATAATGGAGATGCAAAAGCTAAATCATGAGGTCTGGGCGCCGCCGTGAAGCAGTGTCGGGACCTGTTTGCTTTTCGACCCTGACCATACGGATCTGCGTGAGCGGTGCCGCCGAATTTCAGAAATGTGGCCCATGTGTTTTTGGACCCTAACCCTACGGATCTGCATGAGGGGTGCCGCCGAATTTTAGACATGTGGCAAATTCCTTGTGTTTTTGGACCCTGACCCTGCCGATCTGCGTGAGGGGTGCCACCGAATTTCAGAAATGTTGCAAATTCCTTGTGTTTTTGGACTCTGACCCCGCCGATCTGCGTGAGGGGTGCAAACGAATTTCCGAAATGTGGCAAATCCCATTTGTTTTGCACCCTGACCCCGCCGATCTGTGTGAGGGGTGCCACCGAATGTCAGAAATGTGGCAAATCCCATGTGTTTTTGGACCCTGACCCCGCCGATCTGTGTGAATGGTGCCAGCAAATTGCAGAAATGTTGCAAACCCCATGTGTTTTTGGACCCTGACCCTGCCGATCTGCGTGAGGGGTGCCACCGAATTTCAGAAATGTTGCAAATTCCTTGTGTCGTTGGACCCTGACCCCGCCGATCTGCGTGAGGGGTGTCAATTTTTACCCACCCCAGCAATTCAGAGCCCTACTGGGCCTCCCCCCCTCGCGCGGTCCATCAAAAAGGAACAGCAAGCAGCAAGAAGCAGAATTGTAACAGTGGAAACTGGAAGCTGCAACTGGTACAGGAAACTGCGAACCTTCGCCCTACAGCCTGGTGGCCCCACAAGGGGGCCGGCGGATTGTGGACTGGCCTCCGTTGTGTCCCTTTGTGCTTCCTCCAGTGCGAAGATTTTCCTGCCGATGCCGCCGACCCAGAAGGCGGGACCTCCTTGCTGGCGACCCCCCGTCGGGATCCCCCAGGACCCCCGGGGGGCGGCATTCTGACCCCCCCGCAGGGAAGGGGGAGCCCCAGTAGGGGGCCACATGCGAACCCTACCCCTACCCCCCACGATTTCTGAGGGGGAGGGTGTGGTTCACTTCGCTCGGGAGCCCTATCCAGGACCCCCGGAGGGCGGCATTCTGACCCCCCCCGCAGGGAAGGGATCGAAGGGAAGGGGCTTCCCTTCAACTTAACTACAACGTTCCTCAATTTCTTTGTCCCTCAATTTCCTTAGGACTGACGACGACCACCACGACGACGACGACGACGTCGCCAGAGTCTTCTACACGCCGAAGGGTCGGCGGACTCGTGAGCCACCTCTGAGCCCATTCGCGTGGGCAGTGGAACGGTCTCAATCCCAAGACGGTGGCTGGAGCTGAGTCAAGGGAGGAAAAGCCACCCGAACCCGACAATTGGCGTTTACTAAATGGCCCTGGGCGTGTACTAAACAGCCCTGCCTTGTTAGATTGTTTCCTTTGGGCGCGTTTACGAAGCGACTTCGCGTGCCGGGGTGGTTATCATGGGGGTGGATGGTTTGACTTCTACACTTGAGCCCGTTCGCGTAGGCAGCGGAACCGTCTCGGTCCCAAGACGGTGGCTGGAGCTGGGCCCGCGGAGGCTGGGCCCGTCGGTCGATTGGGCCCCGAGGGGGGGGCGGGGGGGAACCGTTGGCTTCGGTTCGGTCGGGCCTGTCCCTCCACAGGGGGAATACTTCGCGTTGGCCAAAAGGGGGTCCAGCGACAAGGGGGTGGTGCCAATAGACTTGGTGCAATAGAGCTGTGGTGTTGCAGTACATTTGGGGCGAGCAACACCTTCCGGGGTGCAGATGTATAGTTGGATTTTCGCGTGCAATACATTACTCGCAAGACAACGCAATACAGTTCTCCAGCGCAATACATTTGCAATACAATTGCCCCAAATCTATTGCACCACACCCTTTCAACTGGACCCCCTGTTGGGTCACCCAAAATACTCCAGAGTAGTCAAACAGTGGTCGGGGGAGGACTTCTCGACTATGCGACAATGTTTGAAGATTGTTGGATTATTGTTTGAAACATCCGTCGCCCCAAATCCGCCTGTAGGGGGACATGCCCGACCTAAGGCTTCGGTGCCGCCACCTCAGGCCAGCCACAATTGGGGGAGCTGTGGTCCTTACCCCCCTGGGGGACCCATCGATTTCGACACCCCTCTCGAGAGATCGTCGATGCGATTGGTTCCCCCAGGGGGGTAAGGACCACAGCTCCCCCAGTTATGGCTGGTCGGCACCGGGCAAGTTGGTCTACCACATGGTCGCCTCCTGCGCCGGGGGGGTGCTGGAAGAACGAGCCGCACGCAGCTGGTTCGCTGACCATCCTCTTGGCTACTCCGTTTCGGTCGTCCGCCCCGGGAGGCGGGAGAGGAGGGGTCGACCAGTCGACTAGACGTAAGAGTGACCTTTCGCCGGAGTGACATTTGGTGCGGGCACAGATGGGTCCCCAGATGGCTGAATGCGAAGCAGGAGGAACGGCTTGCGCGCCCAGGTTTGGTCCCCACGCAGCCCCCCAAAAGCCGCGCACCTAAGGTCACTCTTACCCAGGGTCATCCTTGCGTGCAGCCGAACCAGGAGGGGACAGACACACGGACACAAGTGGTCGTCGATTCCCCGGAGAAGATGGATCATCGGGGAAGCGGAGGTGAAGACGAGCATCCAGGAAGTATGGAAAATATGGGGCGCGTTGGGATTTGTGTCTATTCATGTGTGTGTCTGTGTCCCTGGGTCCCTTCAGATCGAAATGGCGAGGCTGATCTGTGTTGCTTCGGCGGCGCCACGACATTGGCGGGCCGCCCGCCAGGAAGGCAGCGATCTCGAATGGCGAAGGGCCGAAGGGAAGGCTGGAAGAGGGTGAAGAGGGGTCGACGCAAGCGAGATGATGAGGCTGATCTGTGTGTTCTGGCGGCGGCACGTTCCAAGGGAAATGTAACGAGCATGCCTCTGGAGATCCAAAAACGACCAAAGACAGCAAACACCTCGTCCTCAAAACCTTATGTGTTGCTGGGCTTGTTTGGGAATTGCCAGGATCCTGGAGTGAGATACGATCATGAGGTCTGGAGAGCAAGCGACACGCACACGCAAATTGCATTCTATTTACGGAATCGGGGAGGTGTTATCAAAGCATTTACCAGGCAGCCGTCTTTCATTTTGGTACCTTCTGCAGTGAGGCATGTCGTCGTTGAGCAGTTGCGTGTTACACATGGTATGGTCGGTTTCGCCACTACTGAGTGTAAGGCGATCTCGTGTATGGCGTGGGCATGTGGGCTCCATCAACCCATATCGCGTGGAGAAACATTGCATGTCAGCGTGACATCAGCACTCATACTCGTGTCCTTGTCAGCCGCCTGCGTGCCCACAGCAGCAGGCCCTCGCTTGAGTGCATCCCGGTCTTTACTTCCCGCCCCTTCCCCCGTGCGTTCGGGGGCGGCAGAGAGGGGGGGAGGACCAGGGAGGGGGATATCATGGTGGAGGCAATGCAATCTCCACGTGTTTCATGGCCCCCTCTTCTCCTTTCGATACGTCCCCTGGCCTCCCACTCGTCCGCGCACGTGGCTCGGGCCATGATTTGCGACCCCCATCTTTGACGCCCCCCTCTTGGACCTGGGGGCTTGCCTCCAGCATGAGTTCAGTCTTCCCCTCGCGGCGGGCGTGAGACCCCTCCCCCCGAAAGCCCGATCCTCCCCCCGGAGCACCGCTGCAGCGCGTGAAGCGAGAGGCATGTCCGCCCACCCACCCACCAAGGAGCTGCCAGGGCCCACCCAGGCGCTTAAAAAGGACGCTGTTGGGGAGCCGGTTCTCCACGGGTCGAGCTGCATCGGCGAGAGCCAAACAGAAGGATTGGAGGACGCACGCGCAGCCAGCGCCTGCGGCGGGGGGCGCATCCACCCACGGTACAGTGAGCGACATGCATAAAGAACATCTACGTTTCAAAAGGGGCTCGGTCGTTCCTTAGGTTTGCGTGCGTTCCGCGACCTTTTTGGCGGCGAGCCCCCCTGGTATTCCTTCAAGTTTTGGACGTGCGGGTCGGCCGTTCCTTCTGACTTGGTAGACTTATTTGGAGAAAAAGGGGCTTCGTTCCTCATTAATCGCTCCTTAGGTCAGGCCGATGACTGTAAGGCCTCGGGTTGCGCACGGACGCCACCCCCTTGCTGGCCTCAACAGGCCCCCCCGAGAGGTCTGGGGCGCTTTCAACGCCTCGCCCGGAGGGCGGGGAGCGCCTCGGGAGGCGCCGCTGGAGGCGGCGCCAGGTGTTGAGACCAACCCAGGTTATTCTCGGTGGACCTTTTGAGGTCAGCCAGGACTACCTTTACGTCGGGCGTATCCGTCTACAGGAGGGACCACAAGAAGTCAAAAAATAATCAGGGGACGATGTTTTGATTATTTTGTTGATTTTTGGAATATGTTTTGACTATTTTCGATTTTTCGTCCGAAATCCAGCTGTAGGGGGACACGCCCGACTTAAGACTACCTGGCGGGCTGTCTGCGCGCTGCCCGAAGCCTTTCCATCTGTCCACCCATCAAGGAGCTCCCTGAGCACAGCAGGACGGGCCCGAAGAGCGCCTTCGTACCCAGACCTCCGACGTTACCGTTTTGTTCATGACGTCGACCCCCAGAGGCCTCGACCCATCCCCCGGGACGGGTTTTCCATCCTGAGTCGTCTCTTCACGGCCCCGAGGCCCGGCAAGGGTCCCCGGGGGGCTGAAAGTAGCGAAAAACCCTCCGTCGTGACTTTTGTCGTGCCTCCAAGGAGTGTCTGGGCACATTGGCGCCCGGTTCCCCTTGGGAGCGGCACGGCCCCAGTCCTCAAGGACCTGGGGATCGGGTGGGGAAGGCACCGGGGCGAGGGGAAGGATCGGGGTTTGAGGATCTCAAGGTTCCAGCTCCTCTCACGTGGGAGGAGAAGTGGAACCCTGCCCAGCTCCTCTCACGTTTTGGCCTCTCCCTGCCTGCTTTACAGTCACAAGTTGCTGTGTGAGTTTGCGTTGTTTGGGGCGGCTGGTTCAGACGGCCGCTTCCATCGAGTACAGTACAGTACAGTTCAAGTTTTCATAAACAGCTTGGCGGCAGAGCCGAGGAAGCGCAAACATGGATTGAGGCTCGAGGAATGGCGGAGGCTGCCGCTCCCAGGGAAGTTCGGCGCGCTCCGTCGCCAAACTGGCTTCATGTTTCGCGGAGTGCAGTCGACCCGCACAGTAAGGATGGGCAACCTTCCCAAGGGTTACCCCTTGCATCCTTGCCCCTACGGTCCATCCGTGGCCGCTTTCGCTGGCCGCGCCCAGCTCGAAGAGCTTCGCAACGGGCGCCCAAGGCCTCTGCATCCTCGCCGCGCATCCTCACAATACGGGCCGACTGCACGTTGCCCGAGCCGTGGCCCTCCGGGCGCACGGTGCCCTGCCCCTGCTCCGACCCCCAACGATGAGGGCGGACGGGCTCAGGGGGGGAAGCATCGATCTGGCATCGGCGATGCACCGCCGATAGATCGGCGATGAGCCTGTGATAGCGACACAAGGACCAGAACGCACCAAGAGGCACGGCACAAACGCATCGACAAATGCACTCAAAAACGCTCCAGGGCCCAACAGCACAGCCATGCGCCAGCCTGTGGCACGGCGCCTCGGCAAGACAGACCATAAAAAGTTAGGGAGGGGGAGGAAGAAAGACACACACACACACACACACTCATACTCTACGGCTGCGCGTGCTGCATTCGTTTGTGTACACGCACTGAGCCCATTGTAGCTTTGGGCGGCCGCGGTTCCGAAGGCTGCATTGAAAACGTCAGGGCCGAAGTTCTTCATCGTTTCCAGCCTCCATGGGGCCCTCGTCGGGCCCAGGGGCCGTCAGAGAGGTTTCCGGCCGTGGTGCTCGGTGTCGTCTCGCCCCGTTGGAGTGGGAGATCGACTGCAGAATTGATCGGAGGTTGGTAGACCTCCTACCCTGACACGTCGATTAGCGAATTGGCCGTTTCTGGTTCGCAAGAGGGCGTCGCGGCCCTCATTTTTGCGGGTCCAGGTCCGTCGGTTTCGGTTTTAGGCCGTTTTCGCTAAAGGGTGGCTTACTACAGGGAGGTTCGTCCACCGCCTAATTAATTTACCCTAGAATGGAGCAGTGGCGAAGCGTCATGCCTTGCCCATAGGCCCACCAGAGAATGGTCTAATAACCTTGTGCGGTTTGCGCGGTATGTTCTAAGAACATTTCTGGTTGAGCCTGTTTTGTTTGAGCACATCTGGTTCACGTTCTAAGAACATTCACTGTTTTTGTTATTAGAACATTCCTCGATTCTAAGGAGATGCCGCGGCAGGCCTACAGGAATGCCTGGACGGTCGGTCCATGCTCCACAGAATTGAAGTGTCCCTCGGAGATGCGAAACTAAGACTCAAGTTCCCGTAGATCTACGAGCATTGTACGTGTATTGAGGTGATTCGAGGACGAAAAAAAGATTCGGTGGCAATTCAACGATGCAGTCGATCTCTTGCTCGCCACGTGGCGCTCTCTGTCGCCCCCCGGGGGCCTGGCACGCGTGCCCCCGCGAAACCGAGCATCGCCGGGAGCGCCCCGCCGCGGTCTCTCCATGGCGCGCGGGGGGAAGGGGGGGGGGTCAGAGCCTGGGGGGGCCCCCCAGACACGCCCGCGTCGGGCGGGCGGCGTGCCCCTCTACAGGGGGAGAGTTCAAAGATAGTCAAAAAAATAGTCTGGGGTCGATTTTTCTACTATGTTTGAATATTTGTGCGTAGACTTTACTGTTCATCCAAAGTCCGCCTGTAGCGGGTAATGTGATAGTTGTCTTACGCATTGTTTTGCCGATCGGCACGGGCCCTCTGACCCCCCCGTGAAGCAAACCCTGGCTGCTTCTGGCTTCTGTTTCAGGCAGGCGGAGTCTCCCCCACAGGACGCACAGTTGCAAACAGTGGCATTGAGCAGAGGTCCAGATTCCCCTCCCTTCCGCCCAAGGTCGAAACGCCGAATTAGAAAGCGTTCACAATGGAGGTTGACCAAGAAACGGGGCCCTTGAGGGCCGTTTTCGTCCCCGCCCCCCATGGAGGTCACCCCCAGGTGCCACCCGCCCGACCATGGCCGCCTCCTGGCCCGAGCTTCACGGCACGGAGGGGATCGAGGGGGCGTTGGTGCGGTGTTGCCCGGACGGATGTCTCCCCGTGCCCGGACACCCTCGAGCCATGAAAAAATCACGACGGAGGGGTTCTCGCTATTTTCGATCTTTGGGAGCCCTTGCCGGGCCTCGGGACCGTGAAAACACGATTCGGGATGACAAGCCAGTCCCAGGGAACGGCTCGAGACCTCAGAGGGTCGAAGCCATGAAAAAATCATGACGACGTCCGAAGAAGACGATCTAAGCATGGCTTGGCGAAGATTCCGGCGGACTTCTTTGATCAGCGCAGGCCCTTCCGGCGGCGCTTCAGGGAAAGGGGCTCAAGCCCCGACACAAGAAATCGTCGCGGACCTCCGAAAGTTCATGTTCATGTCTATGCTTCTCCTCCTAAACGTGTGGGAGCGTGTTCGGGCGCCGCCACTGGCCGACCGGCAGGCTACATGGCGGACTTGGAGTCCTTTCCCGGGCCGTTCGGCCGCGTCGAGCCTTCGACGACGGAGGCTTGGGGGCCATGGGAGAGAAAGAGTTGGTCTGCGGGAAAAGGTTTGGTTCTTCGATAAATCAGATGATTCTCTTGGGTGAACAGGGCCAACGCCGAATCGGTTGGTCCTGTGGGTGGGATCCTCACAGGTTCTCTACGGGAAAGGTTTCCTCATTGCTCGTTATTATCATCTTTCTTCCTCTCCTTTTGAAATGTTCATGCGCACTTAAAACTTAGAGACACAATCTTGACGCGCACTCAGCATTGGATACACAACGTACTGACACACAAACACACATATAAAGCTCAGTGAGACATTCCTGACACGCACTTAAACCCTAGAGAAACAGTATTGACACGTACGTTAAACTAAGAGACACGCACGACATGCACTTCAAACTTAGATATATAACCTTGACACACACACGTAAAGCTTAGAGACACAACCCTGACACACACTGAAATTTTAGAGACACAATACGGGCACACACGTAAAACTCGACGACCCTCATGACTCGCACATTAGAGACAATCCTGACACGTATGTTTCGTATATGCTTCGTCTGTGGGGCACGATTCGTATATGTCCGTGTTGTTTCGCACGTAGTTCCTGCATGTACTGTGGATATACCATACATGTGTTGTTTGTACTTGGTGTGTTGTGTGTTTTGTGAGTTTCGCTTCGTGGTTGTATGTGTTTCCGTCGTGTGAGGCGATTGTTGTTATGTTCGTTGCTGCTACTATTACGGTTGTTGTCGTCACTGCCACGAGTAGTATTTCCATTACGCATCGGCCTACCTATTGCTACTACTACTAGCGCTACGATTATGTTGATTACGATGATGACTACTACTACGACTACTACTATTACTACTAGTTCTTTCACTACTACTACTACTACTACTACTACGACGACGACGACGACTACTACTATTACGACTACTGCTACTAGTACGTATTACTACTACTACTACTACTACTACTACTACTACTACTACTACTACTACTACGACTACTACTATGACTACTACTACTACTACTACTACTACTACTACTACAACTACTAGTACTAGCTCTACTTCGATGACGACTACTACTACTACTACTACTACTACTACTACTACTACTGCTACTACTGCTGCTGCTGCGACGACGCGTACTACTACTACTACTACTACTACTACTACTACTCCTACTACGACTACTACTACTACTACTACTCCGACTACTACTACTAATTCTACTACTACTACTATTACTACTATTGCTACTAATAATAAGAATAGTACGATTACTACTACCACGACTACCACGACTACCACTACTACTACTACTACTACTACTACTACTACTTCTAATACTAGTACCACTACTATTATTACTACTACTGTTTCTCACACCACATGACTACTACCACTACTACTACTACTACTACTACTACTACTACTACCACCACCACTACTACTACTACTACTACTACTACTACTACTACTGTTACTACTACGATTACTGCTACTACTACTACTACTACCACGACTCCTACTACTACTATCACAACTACTACTACGACTACTACTACTACTACTACTACTACTACTACTACTACTACTACTCCTATTACTATCACTACCATTACAACAACTACTACCACGACGACTACTACTACTACTACTACGGCTGACACGACCATAAACACTATTATTGTACAACTACGACGACCACTACTACTACTACTACTACTACTACTACTACTACTACTACTACTTTTGCACGACTACTACTGCTACGACTACTGCTACGACTACTACTACTACTACTACTACTACTACTACTACTACGACGGCTACTACTACTACTACTACTACTACTACTACTACTACTACTACTATTACTACGACTAAGAAACAGACGAATACTAATACTACGACTACTACGGATACCCCTATTGTTACTACGATGCTTACTACTACTACGGCTACTACTATTTCTATTACTACCACTACTACTACAATTACTACGACTACTACTACTACTACTACTACTACTACTACTACTACTACTACGACTACTACTACTACTACTACTACTACTACTACTACTACGACTTCTCGTACTACTACAAGTACCATGGCTACGATGTCTACCACGACGACCAGCACAACGATTACAACAACAATTACTGCTACTACTACTACTACTACTACTACTACTACCACTGCTACTACTACTACTACCAGCACTACGACTACTATAGCTACGGCGACGACGGCCATAACTACGATTGCCACGACAAGTGCGACTACTGATATGACGATTACGACTACGACTACTACGATTAGTATTATTCTTACCCCTACCCCAAAGCTCCTACTACCTCTGCTCCACGACTGCCATTACTACATCTGCGAATCGCATGGATACGACTCCTACTACAGTTACGGCTGCCATTGTTACGGCTACGGTTACTACGATTACCACAACCACTTTGACGATTATTCCTCGACGACGGCGACCACGAATATTACCACGATTGCTACGACAGCTGTTACTACTACTACTACTACTACTACTACTACTACTACTACTACTACTACTACTACGACTACTACCACTACTACTACTACTACTACTACTACTACTACTACTTTTACGACTACTACTACTACTACTACTACTACTACTACTACTACTACTACGACGACTACTACTACGACTACGAGTACGAGTGCTACGACGACGACGACGACGACGACTACTACTACTATTACTACTACTACTACTTCTACTACTACTACTACGACTACTACTACTACTACGACTACTACTACGACTACTACTACTACTACTACTACTACTACTACGATTACGACTATTACCACAACCGCTACGATTACCACGACTACGACTATTGCTACTACTACCACTCCTACTACGGCTGATACTTCTGGTGGTATCACTATGTCTGCGACTACTATGACGAGTACTGCCACGTCTAATTACTACTAGTTCGTCTCCTGTCTACATCTACTACCACTACCACTTCTTCCACTACGACGACTTCTATTTCTATTACTACTACTACTACTACTACTACTACTACTACTACTACTACTACGACTACACTACTACTACGATTACTACTACTACTACTGATGTTGCGACTACGACTACGACTATCACGATTACTACTACGACTACTACTACTACTACTACTACTACTACTACGACTACTACTACTACTAATAGTAATAATACTAATACCACTACTACGGCTACTACTACTACTACTACTACGACTACTACTACGGCTACTTCTTCTTTTTATTACTACGACTACTACTACTACTACTACTACTACTACTACTCCTACTACTATTAGTACTACTACTACTGCTACTACGACTACTACTACCATCACCACCACCACGACGACTACTCCAACGACTATTACTACTATTGTTACTACTGTTGTTATTATTACTACTACTAATTCTCCTACTACTACTACTACTACTACTACTACTACTACTAATACTACTACTACTACTACTACTACTACTACTACTACTACTACTACTACTACGACTACTTACTACTACGACTACTACTACTACTACTAATACTACTACTACCACTACTACTACTACGACTACTACTACTATTACTACTAATAATAAGAATACTTCTCTGAACACTGCGATTATTACTAGTACTGCGACTACTACGACGACTAGTAATACGACTACTACTCCTAGAACTACGAATGCTATTGCTACTACTCCTTCTACGACTACTACTATTCCTACTACTAATATTAGTAATATTACGACTACTACTACTACTACTACTACACTACTACTACTACTACTACTACTACTACTACTACTACTACTACTACTACTACTACTACTACTACTACTACTACTACTACTACTACTACTACTACTACTACTACGACTACTACTACTACTACTACTACTACTACTATTACGACTACTACTTTTACTACTACTACTACTACTATTGAGACGAGTTCCATTGCGATTTCTATCACTGCTACTCCCTTTATTTTTACTACTACTACTACTACTACTACTACTACTACCACTACTACTACGATTGCTACTACGACTGTTACACTACGATTACTACTACCACGACTACTACTACTACTACTACTACTACCACCACTACCACTACTACCACTACTACTATTACTACTACTACTACTACTACTACTACTACTACTACTACTACTACTACGAGGACGACGACTACTACTACTACTACTACTACCAAAACTACGACTGGCCCGTCACAGTGAACACTTGTTCCACGAAGAGACGGTTCTTCAGGCAAGCGGGGTTGGAGCGATGCGAAGTCGATTGCGGCGCCTGCAGGGGAGCGCACTTCGGCTTGCGAAATAGAATTTCGACAGAAATCTGAGGACTCCTGATAGCTTTTCGCCCAGACGAGGGACCCTTCACCTAGAGTCCTCAGAAGCCCACAAGGATCCAGTAGTCCAACCCTGGAGCCATCTCTTGTCCCGGGGAACCAACCCTTTTCCCTCGCGTGCTATGGGGCAGCCGACAGCTCGAAGAGCGATCGCGCCTCCTCCTGCCGCCCCCACCTTCTGCACCTGCTCCTCCTCGTCCTCCAACCTCCCTCCTCCCTCGTCCCATCCTTCCCCGCCATGCGTCAGGGGGTAGACGGGGGGATGGAGAAGGCGTCCCAAGCGAGCACGCTGGCGGCAGCAGGGTCCTCGACAGGGGCAGCCTGCGACGACCACCCCGTGCAAAACCATCACAGCCCCACGCTCATACACCCCTCCCTCACCATCTTCCTATTCCCTGCTCCCTCCTGCGGCACCCTACGCGATACCCGCATAACGGAGTGCAGTTCTTTCAGCCTTCCTTGCAGCCAGCCTCCGCCACGTGTGTGTAGCAGCATCACTCGTGCACACCAGCCTGCACAGATGACAGGACAGGATTAGATTGCACCGATCCGGCGACGGGTTACGCCAATCACCGCACGCATACTGTTCGGCACGCAGCCCCATTCGTCGAGCAAAAGGTGACCTTGATCCTTCCTCCTCTTCCCACACCCCTGAGGAAGAGTAATTCAAGTTTAGCAGGTCGTGTCCAACAACCATCCAGGGGATTTCACTGGGGGTAGTTTTTCATCCTGGGTGCGTTCCTGACGGCCCATAGGCACGAAAACGGCCCCTAGAGGCCAAAAGCGACGAACACCGAAGGCGACGAAATCAGACAAATCGATTATACAAGTTGTATGAGATTTCCTTGGCAGTGCACTTTCCGCAGCGCTCCTCAGCTTGCTCTCTCCTCCTCCTTCACTATGGAGCGAAACAGGATACAGCGGCCGAAACCCAATCCGAACGGCATTCTTCGCCTCAGCCCGGGCAGTTCGCTTGCGGCGACACCTACGCGCAGTGGACATTTTCAAAGCGAGTCGTGAGGGTGCCTCAGGCGAAACCTAAGTTTGGCAGTTCAAGCGGACATGCGAGACAGCATCGGCGAATCGAACACGAGTTGCGTCGGCGTTCTGGCCCAGAATCAGGGGAGGCCAAAAGGGGAACGAGGACTCGGGGGGGATCGCATGGCCGGGACCACGATATCTCCTCAGATGTCATGGCCCTTCCTTTTTATGTTTGGTATTCGCTTCTGTTTTGTATTGTTCGCATTATTCTTCTTATTAGTATTATTAGTGCCCGTATTTGTATTGGCATGTCTATTCTTGTTGCTATGAGTAATAGGATTATCATTTTTCGTACGATTCGCATTCTTACTCTTATTAGCTGTTTTACTGTTATTACGCTTGGCATTATTATTGTTAGTCTTCTTCTTATTTCAGTGCGTCCCTCGGTCCCCCCCCTCGGCCGCGCACATGCCTCGGGGCCAAAAAAACATTGCACACGCCCCTCTTTGGATGCCCCCGAAGACAGCACCCTCCGCAGCGCTCCTCCGCGCTCCCGGCGGCGCCGCGCGGGCCGCCGAGGCGCGCCGCGCGTCCCGCCGCGGTGGCGTGCCAGTCGGGCGGCGGGCAGATGCCGGAACAGGGGCCAGACCCAGACATCCTTCGGGGATGGCCAGGACCCCAGGCAAAGGGACCCTAAAACGACGCGAAGATCGGGACGAAATCGGATCGGGATAACTCGAGATCTCTGAGAATCGGCGGGTTTGGAGGATGTATTGGGCGCCGCGGCCGCTCCAGAGCGTTCCGGAACGCTCTGAGAGCGCTCCGGAACGCTCTGCAGCGATTTATCCTGATCTTAGCCCTGTTTTAGACCCGGCTAGTGGTAGGGCCCCAGAGCCTTTGGACTGGCCACGATCACTAAACCAGATCTGCCATAGCTGGTGTTTTTGTTTCGGGTAACGGCAGTTCCGGTTAGTGGAAATGGGACGGGGGGGCGCCCCCAGTACAGATCATTAAACCAGGTTCCACTAAACCCAGTTCTGCCAACGCCCGAATTCTTCAGGCGATCGAAAACACGGATCAAGGGGGCGTGGATTGGCGACGGGTCCCGTTTCCATGGGAAATCGCGGATTTCCGCCGCCGAGCGAGGCGGCACCGGCCGTGTTTTGGGGAAGGGCACTTCCCCCGATCCATGGATTTGGCGACCGCGCGCCAAATCCATGGACCGCTAATCCATGTTTGCGCGCCCCCGAAGTCTGGCGTCTCGTAGAAAAATCGCGACGGAGGTGTTGCATCGTTTTCGGCCTCCCGGGGCCCTCACCAGGCCTCGGGGCCGTTGAACAACAGCTCGCGATGAAAGGCTGGTCCTGGGCAAGTGGTCGAGAGGTCGGGGGCACGTGCCTCGAAAAAAGCGAGACGCCGGATGTCTGGGGACGGTGCGGGGACCACACCGCGTGGTGGCCCAGAGAGCCAACGCACGGTGGGAGCGTTCGTGCAGAATGTGTTCCGGAGGGTCCCCGATCTGATGAGGGCGGCGGTGGTATCTATAGCCAAGCCTCCACTGGTATTCCACTGGCTTCCAGACTTACGTCAGGCCTGTCCCTCTACAGGAGAATATTCAAAAATAGTTTAAAAATAGTTTGGGGACGATTTTTATAGTATTTTTCGCTATGCTTGGGCATGTTTTGACTAACTTAAATTTTTCCTCCAAAATCCCCCTGTAGGGGGACATGCCCGACCTAATTCCAGACCCTGGGTTAGGTATCTACGAGTTCTGTATCCAATGGCCTCACTGTATCGGAAAATCAGACGGAGGTTTTTTCCCAACCATCCTGTGGTGTTGGGTCCTCGTTTTGAAGAGACGGTGCCCGCGTCCTCTCCTCCTCTTCCCCCTCCTCCGTCCTCCCCCTCCTTGCCTCTGCTCTCGGCACACCTCTCACGCGTTTCGTAGCCCCATAGGGAGCTCCACCGAAGGCCCCAGTGGGGGTGTCCACATGCGGTTCCCCCACCCAGGGCAGCGTTTCGTGGCCCCATAGGGAGCTCCACCGAAGGCCCCAGTGGGGGTGTCCACATGCGGTTCCCCCACCCAGGGCAGCGTTTCGTGGCCCCATAGGGAGCTCCACCGAAGGCCCCAGTGGGGGTGTCCACATGCGGTTCCCCCACCCAGGGCAGCGTTTCGTGGCCCCATAGGGAGCTCCACCGAAGGCCCCAGTGGGGGTGTCCACATGCGGTTCCCCCACCCAGGGCAGCGTTTCGTGGCCCCATAGGGAGCTCCACCGAAGGCCCCAGTGGGGGTGTCCACATGCGGTTCCCCCACCCAGGGCAGCGTTTCGTAGCCCCATAGGGAGCTCCACCGAAGGCCCCAGTGGGGGTGTTCGCATGCGGTTCCCCCACCCAGGGCAGCGTTTCGTGGCCCCATAGGGAGCTCCACCGAAGGCCCCAGTGGGGGTGTTCGCATGCGGTTCCCCCACCCAGGGCAGCGTTTCGTGGCCCCATAGGGAGCTCCACCGAAGGCCCCAGTGGGGGTGTTCGCATGCGGTTCCCCCACCCAGGGCAGCGTTTCGTAGCCCCATAGGGAGCTCCACCGAAGGCCCGCCCCGGTGGCGCAGTCCGCATGCGGTTCCCCCTATCCAAGGCAGCGCTTCGTGGCCCCATATGGAGCCCCACCGAAAGCGGCACCCACAACGCGTTACCAACAATTGCTTATGGTTGGGTCTTTCGCCAGGATAATTTGCCGTTTTCGACCTACAGAGTCCCTCGCCGGGCCCTGGGACTGTCAAGAGATGGTCTGGGATGAAGAAGCCAGTTGTTCTGCCTCGCGATGCGTGCAGCAGCTGCGCCTGCCCGAGAGCGTTCCGGGGGTACCCGGGTCGATCCGAACGGCCACCAGAGACCGGACTCATGGCCCAAGAATCAAGCGTTCGGAGGAGAGCCAGTGTTAGGTCGGGCATGGTCCCCCATACAAGGCGATGCTGGACGAAAACTAAAACATACATATTCCCAAATAGTCAAAAAGATTCCAAAAATTCGTCCACAGACTATTTTTTTACTATTTTTGAGTACTCCTCCTGTAGAGGGACGTGCCCGACTTCAGACCAGTGAGGTGAGTCAATAGGGATCCGGGGGGACCGCACGGTTTTGGGATTCGGGTCGTTGTCCGAGGACGTCTCGAGCGATTGGGGCCTCCAATGTCGCAAAAGCGTGCGGTGACGGACCGTGCGGTGAGGTCGCTGGGGATTCCGAGATCCGCGCACGGTCTGTCACCGCACCATTTCGAGACCCACAACAGTCGGGGGTGGACAGAACCCCCACCTTGACCCGTCGATTCGTGAATTGTCCGTTCTCGGTTCTCGAGAGGGCGCCGCGGCCGTCCATGTTCCAGGCTTGCGCCCGCGAGGGTGGGGCCCGAGGCCGTCTTCACGAACCCACGTTTTCCTAAAGGGGGCCCTGTCCATCCCCGAAACAGCGGGGGGGGGGGCGAGGAGGGGAGGAAACCGTGCTCTGACGTGCTCTGGCAAGAGGTGGAGAAAGACGTGAGTGAGAGGAAGAGGCCTCGCCGCCGTGCCGCTGTGCGCACGGCGGTGGCCCGGTGGCGCGTCGCCGAGTCGGTCGGCGGGCCCAGAATCTTCGAGTCGTGTCGCGGGAAATCAGCCAGGGCACTGGATCCTGCAGGATCTTGCGAAGGACCCCCTCTGGCTGACCCGGGGTAGCGAGCCGCTCGTGGCCGCGAGGCGGCCGTGCATATTGGTTGACCCAGGTTTGCGAAGACTTGCGTTGCAGTTTTTTCTTCCTGCATTGCAGTTGTTTGGTTTCCTGCTGACCCGGGTCTGGATTGACTTGGGTCAGAAGATCCCCAACACCACACGATCAGCTCGTGCATCGGCTATGTTGCCCACGGCTGCTGTGGTCAGGGAGGGACGTTCTTGTAGCCGGTCTACTTTCACGAGCGGTGAACGTGTCCGTACCAGAGCCCTCACGGTCTGGATGTCGGGGCGCGATCCCGCGGATGCGCGGTCGCACGGACACGTCCCGCGCGAGGCATCCGCGAACAAAACAATCCGTATGCGAAACAAGTCCCCGCATTTGCGGGATCGTGGCCCAGGGGCCTGGCCCTCGGGGCCGCGTACACACGATAATTGGGAGGGGTGGGAGGTCGAAAACATCGCAAGGAGCTTCAGATTCCTAGGCTCTACATCCGACCCACACGAACCACATCGGACCCCCAGATTCCTTGCTCTCTCTCTCTCTCTTTCTCTCTCTCTCTCTCTCTCTTACGCTGGGCCGCCTACTTGCAGGCGCTCCTGCAGTACCTCAACGGCCTGGCCGAAAGCCTCACACAGGGCGACACCAAGCACACCGCCTTGGAGGATTCGCACTCGAAGCCGCTGCTTCATTGCTTCTCCTTCGCGTATTGGGAGTGCCCAGCGGCAATTCTCTCGCTTAGCCAATCCCAGCGCAGCAGGGTTTTTCCCCCAGCGCGAAGAGCACGAGCTGGAGGATGCGTGTATGTCCTTGAGCATATGCGAGCGTGGGAAAGGTGTTAGGCCTGACCGACCTCGCCACATCCCCTCCGCCCTTTTCTTCTACCATTACCGCTTGTCGCTTCCCTGAGTAGATCTGTTGCAACACGACGTTTGCGATAACAGACATCCCTATTTGGAAGTCTTCTCCACCCCCACCACACGCGTCTACAGTATGCAATACTGGCATTCCCCCGTCTGTACCCCGTGACCAAGCCTTGCATGTTCACATGTTCACAGAGAGGTACCTCTGTATTCACTTGGGCATCGAGTCTCCAGCGCTGCGTTCCCTTGCGGGCCGACCCTCGGTGCCATCTGCCGACGCAGTTGCCGAGACAAGAATCTCGTAGCAGATGCAAGCACAAACCTCCGATGTTGTGCTTGATCCATCTGCAGTCCCCTGAAGGCCCGACCCCATTCTCGATGGATGCTTTTCATCCCGAGTTGTTTGTTGATTGTCCTCGGGGGCTGGAGCGGCTTCTGCAAAGGAGCAATGTGAACACCGTTGCGCCATTTTTTGTGACGCCGGGACCTGAGTGATCGCGGAGCTTTCCCGTTCAGAGAAGTGCACAGGCGAGCCGTCACCACGTGTGGCGCCTCAGGAAGGGCTTCGCCCTCGTTGGATCCAGAAGTCGGCACCTCTCTTCCTCGGCGGCAGGCCAGCCGAAGACGCGGTGGAAGTATACCGAGGACGGCTCCGTTGGCGGCAGGCTAGCTGAAGCCAGCGGGAGTAAAAATCCGCCTGCCAAGAGGTGACCAATTTGGGGGTTCGGGGGTTCGGGAGCCCGCCATGCAGGCCGCCCTCTGCAGCGCCAGCGGGTGCCGTGGCAAGAGCGAGGAGGGAGCGATGGCGACCCGTGGCGGTGGTTGTGCCCCCGCTCTTCTGTGGCCGCGCGCCACCCTCCTCCGCGCCCATAGTTGCCGCTCTCCTGCTCGTCCCCCCTCCGCCAGCAATTGCCGCTCATCACGCCCCCCTCCCAGCCCCTTCTCCTCCGGCTGCTGCTCCCCTACCCCCCTCTTTCCTAATTACTTCGTCCTCCTCTTCAATATTTGTCTCATCCCCTCCTTCACCCCATACCCCCCCGCCACTCGTCCCCCTCCACACACACACACACACACTTGTTGGCGTCGCGGCCACGTGCGCGGCGGCGCGGCCTGGCGAAGGTCGAGCAAAGAGAGAGGAGCATAGGCCGGGCCGGCTCACGCAGCAGGGTGGAGCCGGGCCCACCCACATAGGGGAGACCCATGTCAAGAAACACCCTGCTTGCCTCCAGGGTGCCCTGGGTTTCTTGGGTTCCGATGGTCTTGCTGTAGACAGCGTGGCGTTCCCACGCCAAAAGCCAATGGGCGTCCTGGTGTCTCAGGGTTGGGTTTCTTGTGGAAGGTTTCGTGCGGACCGGCCTCCACTGTATAGGGGGGATCAAACGGCAACATTCTCGCAGGGGCAGGCGCTAGGGGAAGGCGGGAAGGGGAGAAGAGGGGGAAGTCGACGAGGGGTGAGGAGGCATGCTGAGGACCTCGGACGGTGGCAGGCCGAGGCCAACAGTGCGGCGCCGTGGAGCCGGCTGCAGCGGCAGAAGGCCAGCCAGCTTGGGCGCTGCGTAATGGGGGGGTCATAAATGGGGGGGGGCGAGGGTGGTTCGAAAGGGTACCCAAACGGTACCTAAACGAGCCCCCTGGGGCTCTGGAGGGGCCCGAAAGGGGCACGAAAGGGGACCTTTTCTGACCCCCCCATTTGTGACCCCCCCATTAAGCCACGCCCAACCAGCAGGAAGAGGCAAGGCAGCTCGCGGGCAGTGCAGGGCATCAGTGCTGTGAAGCCAGGAAGGCCAGAAGCAGGCCAGGGCAAGGGGCTGCAGCAGACCGGGGCGACGGAGGACCCGGACAGAGCGGCGGCGCGGCAGCAACCGCGACGAGGGCCGCAGCGTGAGAGAGGGAAAGGTACAGTAGCGGAAGTCGTCCCAAAAGGGAGGGACCGTGAGGCCCCGGCCGACCTCAAAAGTCACGGTCGTTGACGCGTTCGGATAATACACACACACACACACACACACATGCACGCATTGCACCACCTCGTTTGCACCACGTAGTTGGCACCACACGGCCTGCCTCACATAGCACGCACTGCGTAGCTGGCACCGCCAAGTCTGTACCACACGCACGGTCCAAGTGTTCGGAGTTTCCAGCGATGCAAGTGCGCATCGCGCATTCAGAGGAATTCGGCCTCCCGCCCAAGCGTTCGTTGCAAGCTAACTTGCTTCGCGATTGTACGGTTCCCCTGCCAACCAGGCACAAAGCTCAATCGGCCAGGGAATCGCGGACCAGACCTGGGCGCAGCGCATCGCCCATCTCACCTTGCTCCAATTGCCTCCCCCGCGCGCCAATCGCACATCTCGCTCGCCTTGCGCCCCTCCCTCTTCCCGCCCTATTACAGTCGCCCCCTCCCCCGCGCGCCAATCGCACTCTCGCTCGCCTTGCGCCCATCTTCTCGCCCGATTATATCGCCCCCTCCCCCGCGCGCCAATCGCACTTCTCGCTCGCCTTGCGCCCATCTTCTCGCCCGATTATATTCGTCCCCTCCCCCGCGCGCCAAGCGCACTTCTCGCTCGCCTTGCGCCCATCTTCTCGCCCGGTTATGTTCGCCCCTCCGTCCCCACTCTCCCGTCCAGGGCACTCGCAGACTCCACGGCGAGTCCCTCGACGCCCCCGTGCACGCCGTTCCGTGGCCCCACGGCGGCGGGGGCGTGCGCAGGGTCCGCCGTGAGGGAATCCGCCCGCGCAGGTTCGTGAGGCACGTCGGAAATTGGAGCATGTACACTACCAGTGGCGCGCTGAATTTCAACCCCAGGACTTTGGGAGGTTCGGGGACGACGTCGAGGTGGTGTGGTGTACACGTTGTCCCCCGTTTTCCCGGGGAAGCAGCAAAAGTGCATACACCAGGATCCAGCATACACCAGGATCCGCTTTCCGGTGTGCAGTTCAGTGCGGGGCCGGAAAAAGCGTCGGTGTATATGGAGTTCGGTTCCTCGGCATGGGCCCGCGCGCTTGCTCCCTCAAGCTCTGGGCCTCCTAGATGGAGTCCGAGTAGATGGGGTCCGAGGATCGCGCCGTATCGCTACGACGCGGCTCGAGGTGGAGCTCGTGTTTCCCCACGCCGACGTCGCCCAGGCATAACCGACCTCGGCGATGCATTGGCGATGCGGCTCGATCCTTCGACCCCATCTACTCGGACCCCATCTAGGATTAAGTCGGGCATGTCCTTCTACAGGACAAATCCAAAATAAACAAAAAATAGTCTGGGGACGATGTCTTGAGTATCTTTGGTTATGTTTGAAAATGTTTAGGTTATGTACAATTTTCGTCAAAAAATCGGCCTGTAGGGGGACATGCCCAACCTAAATCTAGGAGGCCTCTAGAAGCGCGCCTGCCCGGTGCGCAGCGCTCTGCGCGGGACGCAGCCTCCTTCACTGCAGCGGCACCCCCACCTTCGAGGGCGGCTCCTGGGAGGTTACATGTCACCACCCACCAAGTCACCCCAACCCAACCCGAAGGCTTCAATTTGCCCTCCATTTCCAGTGGGGGGGGGTCAAGGAACAATGAAAAATCACAGATGGAACCTGTGCCCCCCCCCCCCCCTCCCGAAATTCGGGTTTTCTGGTTGGGTTGGGCTGGTCTGGTAGGCAGTCAGCATGCAGCATCGGCGCTGGCATACCCGTGGTCGAAAACCAGCCCTAATCTGGCATCATCTGGCCTACTCTAGCTCGGTGGCCCCTTCATCCCAGTTCGTATGGCGGAATGGCCCTTTTTGGTCGGCCTTGACGGCCCTTGCAGGAGTTGTCCCCTGACTTTCTCCCCCCAACCCCCTCGACAAGTCGTTCAATGCGACCACCAGCGGTGGTCAAAGATATTTCAGCGGGAGAAAATGAGGATAACATCAATTTTTCCGTCACCAGGGGCACCTGTCCCAGGGCGGCTGGAAAGTTTATACCTTGACGTGCCACCGTAGGGGTCTAAACTTTCCAGCCGCCCTGGGACAGGTGTCCCCGACGGCGAACAAGTTGATTCCCCAATCGGTGCTTGCACTCAAGGGGTCCTAGCAGAAATTGAAAGATTTGGCGAAAGTGTCCCGCCGTTTTGGTGGCCGGCTGGGCTCCTGGGTTCCAGGTTCCGGGTTCCCAGGTTCCTGAAGATTTGGTTCCGGGCCGATTTCGGTGAGTTCCAGGTTCCCGGGTTCCCAGTCGATCTCCTTATCGATCTCTTGATCGATCCCACGACTCATCAAACTATCCTCTGATCGGGGATTTTCTCAGGTGTAATTATTTTACGGACTTGGCGCCCCGCAAGCGCTGGCAAGAATAATTGTTGTCCACGAGGCTATAGCGAGCCCGGCGCCTCCCTAGGCACGGGCGCGGGACACTCCCCGCAGCGCCTCTTTCCCCCAAAAACCAAAAAAAGAACAAACAAACAAATAGCATACAACGTTTAATTCAAAACACGTATTTTTTATATATATGTATATCAAAATACAAACATGTTTATATAGGTGTCTATATATACACACACCATACACTGACAAAAAACACTCGCCCACCAAATACAGCTGCCCCCGCCCCGCGCAGTCCGCCGTGAAGTTCCCCCACTCCGCGGCGCTGATGTGCAGGTTCCTGTCCGCGCTGATCGAGGGGGGCGGCAGGACACGGCACGCACGCCGGGCGGGGAGGGGGGGAGGGGGGGGGGAGGAGGAGGGGTCAAGCCGTGGCGAAGCGTCCGAGCTCGTCTGTAGGCCTACCAAGGAGTGGTCTAAGAACCCTTTGTGGTCTGCACGAAGTGTTCTTAGAACATTTCTAGCTGGGACTGTCTTGTTTCAGCACATCGGGCTGATGCTATAAGAACATGGTTTTCGTTATTAGAACATGTTGTGGTAGGCCTATAGGAATGCCGGGACGGTCGGTCCCTGCTCAAATGGAGGGGGGGAGGAGGAATCGGAAGTCGAGATTCGAGATTCGAGGCTGAGGACATCAAGGAAGCGTAAATATGGATTGGCGCGCGTGGATCGGCGGCGGGCCCCGCTTCCACGCGACATCGGCGCGCTCCGTCGCCAGATGGGGCGGCATCGGCGGGGATCCACGGATCGGGCGCCCACGCGCCGCCAGATCCACGGATCCCCAATCCACGTCAGCAATGTGCGCGTGCCCGAGGACAACGAAACAGAGGCCGATTCTGATTCGCTGTGCACTGGGGGCGCCCATGAAGAAGCCATGTGTTTTCCGTCAGGGTGCACCCTGGGTGTCCCTGCCCCGCGCGCTGCGCGGGGACTTCCAGCGGCCGCTGAAGAAGCTGCTGCGTTCAGGGTGCTCTTGTCGGCGGCGCGCCCCGGGGGGGAAGTGAGCAGGAGCAGGCCTCCTCGGAAGGCGGCGGAGCTTCTCAGGAGCCCTCCGGCCCCCAGAGGTTTTTTCGGAGTCGCCAGGGAAGGCGCAGAAGACCTCCCAGCAGGTCGGAGGCCTCACGGCAGGCGGGAGCTCCCTTTTCCGGGCCGCCGCCTCCTCGCCACGACGTGGCCCGTATTGCTCGGCGCACGCGCCGACCGCCTTCAGCATCAAACATACAACCCCCCGCGAGGACTGGTGGATTGTTCTTGCCAAGCAAATCGGAGGCCTCCCGAGCCATCTGGGAAGCCCACTCCTTCTCGTTTGCCCTCCACCGGCGCACCGCGGATCCGGGCTCCCCCCCGGCGTGCATCTCACGCGCGGGCTTCCCGGGCGGGGTTCCCTGCGAGGGTGCCTTGCGGCCGCGTCCGCGCCGTGCCCGCTCACCCCAGCGGGCCAGCGCGGCGCGCGTGTTCCGACGGCGGGAGCAGCGTGCGAGGGTACGCGGCCGCGCGTTCGCTGGGGCGCCGAGTCTCGGGCGATCGCAAACACGGCGCAAAGGGGGCGCGGATCAGCGTCGGGCCCCTCTCCCATGGGAAACTGCGGATTTCTGCCGCCGAGCGGCATCGGCAGCATGTTGGGGAGGGCACCTCACTCGATCTATGGATTTGGCGACCGCGCGCCGAAACCATGGACCGCTTATCCGTGTTTGCGCGCCCCCCCGAGAATCGAAGCTCGGGGGGCAGGGCTCCTCGTCCGAGGAGGAGCAGGAGAAGCAGCAACAGCAGGAGAAGGAGGAGCAGGAGGAGCGAGGACGAGCGAGGAGCGAGGAGGATGAGGAGGAGGAGGAAGAATAGGAGAAGGAGGAGGAGGAGGAGGAGGAGGAGGAGCAGTAGGAGGCGGGAGGCGGAGGATGCCTTTCCCGTGCGCCCTCGAGGAGGAGGAGGAGGGAGAGGAGGAGGAGGAGGAGGAGGAGGAGGAGGAGGGTGTTGAGGAGGAGGAGGAGGAGGAGGAGGAGGAGGAAAAGGAGGAGGACGACGACGACGAGGGGGAGGAGGAGGAGGAGAAGGAGGAGGAGGAGGAGGACGAGAGTAGGAGCAGAAGGAGGAAGAGAAGGAGGAAGAGAAAACGGACTACGGCAGCAAGAGGATGATGACCCACAAGAGGAGGATGATTGGGAGAAGGAGGAGAAGGAGGAGGAGGAGGGGGAAGAGGAGGAGGAGAAGGGAAGGCGGGCAGCTTCGAGGTTTTTGGGTGTTCGGGGAGATTGTCTGGCTTTGTCGGCTTCTGGGGGCAGTTTTCGGGCCCTGGGGATGTAACAAACGGATCCGGGGTGGGAAACGGCACCAGATGGACCCCAGGGAAGGATCCCGGGGATCGATGCTGAGCGGATTTGGCGTCATTCCCTTTCTTGAGTGCTCGGAAGCCCCCCTGCCTTCTGAGAAGTTGTCCAAGCCTTCCCCGAAGACCAAACAAATTATCAGAAGGCGCGAGGGCTTCTGAGAAGTCCCGCCGCCTTCTGAGAAGGCCTTCTCCTTCTCACTTCCCCCCTCGCTCGCCGCCGATACCCTAGCATACTTCTACTGTATACTATATGTCCGTCGCCCCCCCAGGGGCGACGCCCGCACCGAAAACTCTTATGGCATATGTGTCGTGGCGGGCGCTTTTTGGCCACACCGCTCGGGAAACGATATACTACAAGATGGGTGTTCTATATGCTCGGGTCGGACGCGCGTCTCCAAGGAGGACATATAGTATTAGTGTGTCTTTGTGCGGCCCATCGTCGACCCGCGCCGAGGATCCAGGGCGAGGAGTTCTGGCGCGCCTTCGCCCCCGCGCTCCGGGAGCGGTCCCGCGAGCTCGGCCCGCACCCCGCCGCCCCGCCGCAGCCGCTGCCGGCGGGGCCCCAAACGCCGTGGATCTGCACGGCCAGCATTGGCACGGAAAGAGTACACTCTATCACTTGCGAAGCGTCCTGGCTCGCCTATAGATAGGCCCACCAAAGAATGTTCTCAGAACCCTTTGTGGTATGCACGGGATGTTCTTAGAGCATTTCTGGCTGAGTCTGTCTTGTTTTCACATCGGGTTGATGTTATAAGAACTTTGTTTGTGTTCGAATATTTTGGGGTTCAAAAAACATTTCGTGGTAGGCCTATGGGAATGCCGGGACGGTCGGTCCCTGCTCAATACAGTGGAGGCGCTTGGCAAGAAACATTTTGCTTGCCTCCATGGTGCATTGAGTTTCTCGGGTTTCGATGGTCCTGCGATGGGAAGCGTGGCTTTCCCACACCAAAAGCCAATGGACTTCCTGGGGTCTCGGGGTTGGGCTTCTTGTGGAAGGCTTCATGCGCGGACGAAGACCGACACCAGTTCTTGCCCATGTTTCCCTTCACGGTTTCACTATACGGGTTTTTATGTGGATATTTGTATATATATATATAGAGAGAGAGAGAGAGAAAGAAAGAAAGAAAGACAGAACGAGAGAGTCGGGGAAACGTGAGACTCGAGTTGGCCGAAATTCGGGTTTGCCGACGTTTGTTGACGAGCTCGTCATGGATGTTGGCGGTCCGGTTCCCGTGGGATGTTTGCAGCGGGGGCTCGCGTCAAATTTCAGATTGGGTCTCGTCATTTTCATGGATGGCCCCGTCACGCCAACCCGGGTCTCCCGAACCCGAGTCTTACGTCTCCCCGAAAGAGAGGGAGAGAGAGAGAGAGAGTGGAAGAGAGAGAGAGAGAGAGCGATGCCCCAAACAGTGTTTGCATTTAGGGGTTCTTGCTTCCCTTCTAGTGATCGTGTCTTTTATTCATTATTTTGCCGATCGGCGCGGGCCCCAAAACCCTCCCTCCCCCCCCCTCTCATGGAGAGATCGTGGCTGTTATTTGGCGCCTGTTTTGAGCGGGTGGAGTCTCCCCAGAGGCCGCAGTCTTGCAAACAGTCGCAGTCAGCAGAGGTCTGGAGCCAGAACCCCCCTCCTTGCCGCCCAATGTCGCATTGCCGAATACAAAAAACGCCCACGTGAAGGAACAAGGTCAGGAGGGGAAAAAACACGCAGACACAATTAATCGCCGATCCCCATGAAAATATTGGGAAATATGGCAAGTGGGGGGGAAGACAGAAACCCAGAAAGCATAGGAAAACATGGGGAATCCTTTGAGTTGTGTGTATTTGTTTGTGTGCCCCAGGGCCCCTTCACAGGGGTCCATCTGCGGCGGCCCCGTTCGCGCCCGTGGCCGCCCCGCATTCCCCGGTGTGCAGGGCCCGTCTGCGGGCCCCGCGGCCCGGTTCCCGCCCGTCGCCGCACCACAGAGTTGACACCACATAGCTCACACCTCCTCCTCCTCCTCCTCCTCCTCCTCCTCCTCCTCCTCCTCCTCCTCCTCCTCCGCCTCCTCCTCCCCCGAGAGAGGAAGCTCCAGAGTTCGTTGCAGAAAATGCTGAAGGGGAACAAGCACAAGAGGTGGCAGGCTCGGGGTCCAGAGGCTCGCGTGATCTGAGGGGAATTGGTAGTCGTAATTAGTAATAGCCGTCCGTCAGCCTCTGTAAATACTTCCAGAATTGGGGGGCCCAGGCAGTGTGCGTCTGAAAAAGGTAGAGTTCAATGTTCGGGCGCCTTGACTCCCCCTGAAATTCAGCCAAAGCGTAAGCCCTGTAAGGGCACTAGGAAAGGTCGGGGTAGAGGTCAGACCTAAGAGCTGAGGCCTCCTCTTGACTTTTAGTGACGTTTATCCGCCTGCCTCCGCCTTCCTGTTCCCTCTCCTCCTGTCCTCCTGTGGTGTTGTGTCCTCCTGTCTTTCCTTACCTCTCCCTCGCTCCTATGTTGTGCGTGTGCGTGTGAGCTGAGACGCTTGACGTCTCACTCTCGGGATCCAGTGCCATTGCGCACTGTTCGGGATGAGTTCGTTAGGCTTCTCGACCCTAACGGATGCTATGGTGTTCCTTGATTAGAAATCTAGTCGTGACGGGAGTGCCGATTTTCAAGATTCGCGAGGGGATTTGCCTTCAGTATGCGCACAGCGGTCAATAGTAATTGCCTCATCATTACAGACTCGACCCGATGCTGAGTACCACCACCGCCACCACCACCTCCTCCTCCTCCGCATAGCTCGCACCACGTAGATGGATTGCACCACATTGCTCACACCACAAACATGTACACAAACTTTTGGCGCTCCGCACGGATTTCTCGGATCCGCGCTGGGCCCCCCCAGCGGCACCTCTGGCGCCGCCGCTGGCGCGCTCCGCGCGCCAGGGAGGGGGGTCATGCGCGGATCCAAGAAATCCAGCGGACCTCTCCAAAAGTTACGTTTATTTGGTTGTCTGTTCTTCTAAAAGCTCACACCACATAGTTTGTTACCCTGCGGGTCTAAGCTAGCATACACCACGCAGCACCGCACGTTTTTCACCGAACAGCCTACACCGCATAGCTTGGACCACGTAGCTTGCACCACTCAGCGTGCAACGCATAGCTCGCACCGCGTAGCTTGCACCACATAGCTTGCACCACATAGCACCCCGCATCGTGGCCCCCATCGACTTCGAAGCTGCGTAAAGCTGAAAAGGTGCGTTCCGCCGCAAGTGTGTCATAAGCTGGATTCGTTGACCGTGTCGCCGCCGACGTTGTTCGTTCGGAGCAGAAAAACCGCCTGCCCAACTGCATCGTGCCCATGTTGCCAGTACCCACTTCGGGCGTCCAAAGTGGGTAGATCAAGATGGACCCAGGCCCCACGCCCTGGACACAGTCAAGATGTTCACGTGAGGACGAGGTTAGGCTCAGGAGGGGCTCCGGTTTTCGGGCCGCTCCTCGAGGGTTAGGTCAGGGAACCCATGCATGGCCGCAGCTCGCCGTGGCCAGAAGCGTCGGGGCTCAAGAGAGCGGGGCCAGTGCAAACGGGGGTCGGTGCGAGCGCGGGATCTTGCAGGGTCTTGCAGAGCCAGGGTTGCACTGACCCGGCCTTGGGCGCAGGATCCTGCAGGATCTGGCAGGATCCTGCGAAGCCCGACTGACCCGGGTCTGGATTGGCTCAGAAGCCAGGCAAACTCGCAAACCCGTGGATGCGAAAAGGGAGTTCCGGGAAATTGTTCTCCCCTTCCAGGAAGCAGCCCGCTTATTGTTTGTCACGTTGAGTTTTGTTTTGGGAATGTTTTTTTTTTCTGGGAGGACCGTTCTAGCAGCCACGGATTTGCCAGCCCTCGCCCAGCTTCCGATTGGCCTGGCTCAGTAGATCCCGACAGCGCCACTCCGCTCCATGTTCGGCGACTACGAACGGTGTGGCTACGCCGGGGTGCGGTTTGCGATCGGCGCCGTGGGGTCCTGGAGGTCACGACATTGTCCTCGGCGGGCCTCGTCGGGGCGCGGCTGAGAACTCTGTCGAGGTACCCGCCCGACCCCCACGGTGCCCCCCAGGGTGCCCTCTGCAAACCACACCCCTCGGAGTCGCCGACTTGTCTGGCGTTCCCTGTCGCCGCCGCCGTGGCCCCTCCCCCTGGCTGCGTCCGCACGCTTGGGGGGTGGGGTGCGGGGAGGGGGGGTCCAGCGCTGGCCCATGAGGTCCGCGCATGTCCCCGACGGCGACAACGACGACGACGACGAGCGGCGACGACGACGAGCGGCGGCGACGACGACGACGACGACGGCGACAAGCGACGACGACGACGACGACGACGACGACGACGGCAGCGGCAGCGGCGACGACGACGGCAGCGACGACGACGACGACGACGACGACGACGACGGCGGCGACGACGACGACGACGACGGCAGCATCGACGACGACGACGACGACGGCGGTTGTCCTGTGTCGTCAGCACGAACCGTCAACAGCCGAGTACGAGCAACACCCAGCAGCGACGCCAGCAAAAATCGCGACCAGCATGGCCTCCTACCGTCACGACGCACTATCGGCAAGCACTTTCTGACAAGTTCGACGTGCTATTCCAAGATTCGAAACTCCAACTACAGCGCGAACACACCGAACAATCAATCAGGGATGTGTCGGTACAACTGCAGCCGCCGAGCACGAACCACCACTGCAGCAGCCACCCAGCAGACGACACGGTTTCACAGCTACTCCGACAGAGACGCGACATGCCCACCCACGAGATTGTGGTACGAAACCAGCTAAACAAACGCATCCGCAAAGAGATCCAGGCCATCAAAAGAGCAGTCCGCCGGTCCCGAAAGTGTCCCAAGACGGTCCAAGAGGCGCCCAAGACGGCCCCTAGATGGCCCCACGAGTGGCCCAAGAGGGGGGAGCTTCAAGTCACATTTCGAGCCCTCCGCCCCAGGCGGAACCCCCAGAACGCCAGCAGGGCCCCAATTAGGCTCCCAAGAGGCCCAAATGAGGCCTCAAGCGCCCCCCAAGAGGCCCCGATAGGCTTCAAAACTGGTTCCATGAGGCGCCCGAGACGCCTGCCAAGAGACCCCAACAAATATCCATAAAGCCTCTGACCACAATGGAGGCCCTAGGCACGGTGGCAGAACGAGCCGAATGTTCTGGAGATTTCCCAAGAGGCCCCAGAACACTGTCCGAGGCCACTCGTCTGCACCCTGAACGGTGTTCCCTGAGCGGTTTCCCAAGCGGCTCAGAAGAGGGCCCCAAAGGGGGCCTCAGGAACCCCAAGAGGCTTGAAAGCTCGCTCCACCAAGAGGCGCCCGCAGCGCGCCAAGAGACCCAAGAGAGGCGTCCAAGAAGCCTCTGACCCACCGTCCCGGCACGGTGGCAGTACGAGCCGAAGGCCCACAACCCTCTCAGAGGCCACGCGTCTACACCCTAAACGATGTTCCCACAGCGGTTTTCGGGGACATCGATTCCGATCTGGAGGCCTCTCGCGAGACCCTTTTGAGCGCCACAGGGGCCTCGCGTACACGTCCTACACGAGATTCCCAGAGAGGCGCCCGAGAACATCGATTCGGACCCGGGTTCATCACAAGCCGTTGGGATGCGACACAAGACGTAATTCGTTTTTTTCTGTCGTCGACACTCAAGGCCCGCGTGCTCTGCCTGCTGCGACTCGCCGTCGCTGGCGGTTGTTGGGAAGGGGAGGGGGTAAGAAATACGAGGAACGAAATGGTTGGGCCTTGCTAGAACCAAAGTGTACACGAAGCGGGCGCGTGGTTCTAGTGATGATGATAGTCGACGAACATGATGGCATTGTGACAGTGATGGTGTTGATGATGTCGATAATGATGAGGATGATGATGCTTATGCTGGTGCTGATGATGCTGATGATACTGATGCTGATGATGATGATGCTGGTGATGACGATGGCGATGACGAGAACGATGTTAGTGATGATGATGGTGAGGGTAATGGTGATCATGATGATGATGATGATGATGATGATGGTGATGGTGTTGGTGATGACGATGGCGATGCGAATGATGATGATGCTGATGATGTTGATGGTGATGCCCACGGAGAAGACCGTGATCGTTCATGATGGTGAGGATGAGGATAGGGATGAGGAGGATGAGGACGAGGATGATGGCGATGATGATGATGATGATGATGTTGATGAGGGCGATGATGATGATGATCATCATCATCAGTATGGCGGCGATGGGGATGACGATGGTGGTGGTGATGACGATAATGATGATGGTGGTGGTGATGATGATGGTGATGATCCTGATGATGTTGATGATACTACTGATGATGATGCTGATGATAATGATGATGATGATGATGAGGATTATGATGATGATGGTGATGTGATGATGGCGATGGTGATGATGATGATGTTGTGCTGTGTGCGTGTGGGTGGGTGTGTGTGTGTGTGCGTGTTCCTGCGACGGGTGTCCAGAGAAAACAAGAACCTCACTCAGGATGTGAGGAAAATGCATAAACTGAAACTCGAAGATCCGCGCGGATGTCCTGGATCGGCGCTGGACGCCCTTGGCGACGCCTCCGGCGCCGCCCCTGGCGCGCTCCGCGCGCGATGGAGGGAGGTCCAGCGCCGGCCAAAGAAATCTGCACGGACCTCCGAAAGTTTATGCTCATGTCGTCGTCCAGGCGTAGCCATTTTGGCTCAATTCGATTTTTTCTGGTCCGCTCAGCTCGAGCTCGACCTCCTCTCCGCGGCGCGGCGCGCGACCTCCCGTCCTGACCAGCGCATCAATGCCGATAACGAAGGTCACCGCCCGACAGATCTTCGACTCCCGAGGGAATCCCACCGTGGAGTGCGACGTGACCACCGCGAACGGGACCTTCCGCGCCGCCGTCCCGTCTGGAGCGTCCACGGGCGTCTACGAGGCCAGAGGAGGAGGAGCAGGAGGAGGAGGAGGAGGAAGGAGCAGGAGGAGGGAGGAGGAGGAGGAGGGAGGAGGAGGGAGGAGGAGGGAGGAGGGAGGAGGAGGGAGGAGGAGGAGGAGGGAGGAGGAGGGAGGAGAGGGAGGAGAGGAGGAGGAGGAGGTAGGGGAGGAGGAGGAGGAGGAGGGAGGAGGGAGGAGGAGGAGGAGGAGGGAGGAGGAGGGAGGAGGAGGGAGGAGGGAGGGAGGAGGAGGAGGAGGAGATCCCGGCTTCAGCACCTGTTCACGCCCAGCGCGCACGGCGTCGGGCCCCCCAGGGCCATCGCAGCTCGGTGCGGCTTGCAAAAAATGCAGCAGACATCGGGGCTCAACAGTTAAGTAAGGGGCCTGTCCCTCTACAGGAGGGATATTCGAAAATAGTCCAACAATTGTCTGGGGACGTCTTCTTGCTTACGACACACACACACACACACCAAAAAAAACTTGGGGTATTGTTTGGACTGTTTTTCATTTTTCGTCGGGGACATGCCCGACCTAACTCTACAGACGGGGGTCAATGCAAACGGAGGTCAGCCAGAGAGGCGGACATTGCAGGATTTTGCGGTCAGGCCATTGCGAACATGGATCAGGGGGTCGTGGATTAGCGAAGGGTCCTGGGAAATCGCGGATTTCCGCCGCCGAACGGGGCGGCACCCGCCGCATTTTTGGGAGGGCACCTCCCCCGATCCATGGATTTGGCGACCGCGCGCCAAATCCATGGTTCCCTAATCCATCTTTGCGCGCCCCCGAAACTGACGGGGGTCAATGCAAACGGGGGTCAGCCAGAGTGCCAGATCTTGCAGGATCCTGCAGAGCCAGGGTCACATTTACCCTGGCTCGGGCGCAGGATCCTAGAGGATGTTGCAGGATCCTGCAGGGCACGACTGACCCCGGTATGGATTGACCCGGGACAGAAGATCCACGAAGAAATACAGGGTCTATTTCAGGGAATGTTGACTATTGTTATTCTTTGGCGCGTAACTGTCCTTACCTGGACCAATTCCCCTCCCCACCCTGGTAGCGGTGACGATCGTACGTTAGGGGGCCCGCAGGCATGGTTTGCTGCTCATAGGTATGCTGCGGCTCTGGCATGCTCACCCCGCCCAAGGGTTGCCGTTAGCATCCCCCCCTCTTGGGTAACGACCGTTACCTACGACAAGAGACAGCAATTTCGGGAAGACCTAAAATCGGCGGCGAGACCGGGAGGGAAGTGAAAGGGGGCGGGCCCTTTTAGAAGACACGGAAGTTCTCGGGTCTTTTGAGAAGTTGTCTCGGCCTTCCCCGAAGACGCCGAGAGCTCCTCAGAAGGCCAGAGAGGCCTTCTGAGAAGCCTTGCCGCCTTCTGAGAAGGCCTTGGCGCTAATCCGAGAGATCCCTGCGGGCTTCAACCAAAATGCCGTGCGTGCTGGAGGTACCCATGCGGCTACCCTTCCCTCGTTTCCGCCCTTTTGGGCGTCCTGGGAGGCCCGCGTCGCCACCGCTGGATTCACCTCGAAATCCTGGTCAGTACGCACCCCGGGAGAGGTCTGGAGAGCAGCGGCATCGGTACATTTGGGCTGCCCGTATTCCGAGTTTCTTAGAAAGCGTCGGGGGGGCGTCAGGCGCTCCGGCTCCCGTCGTGGCGCGACGACGAGGCGAGGTTGACCCCGTCAGGAGGGGTACCCCCCACGCTTATTAAGAAACCCAGAGTAGGTGTTGTAGATCGGCGGCGATTTGGGGTGCGAAGTGAGAAGGAGCAGGCCTTCTCAGGAGGCGGCGGGGTTTCTCAAAAGCCTTCTGGCCCTCTGCGAAGCTTTTTGTGTTTTCGGGGAAGGCTTCGAATTTTTCCCGACCATCATGTAGTGTTGGGTCCTCGTTTTGAAGAGAAGGCGCCACGCGTTCTCCTCCTCGCCCCCTCCCCCCTCCTCTCATCCACGTGCCCCGTGTCGGCACACCCACCGAAGGCTCTGGCGGCAGGGTCCACATGGCGGCCCCGCACCAGATTCAGCATTCACACACACACACACACACACACACTTTTCTGGTCTGCGGGGCGAGAGCGAACCTCTTCCGGCAAAAGCTGGGCGGGCTACGCACAGCTCTGATCGGGGAGACAGGGCACAGGCGGGCGGGGCCTCAGGCGGCCGGAGGGCGGGCCGGGGTGCAGGCGGTGCCGAGGAGCTTGCACAGGAAAAGGAAATGCCTTGGACAGGAGCCGGAGGCGAAGATCCAGAGGGTGAGCGGTGTGGTGTTGCCCTCAACGGCGTTCCGTAAACACCATCCTCAAGTATTGCATAAAAAAACCTTGTACGCGACCAGGTCGACGTCCAGGGGGGAGAAGTCCACCATGAAGTCGATGAGCAACGTTGTGCCACCGGATGGTGCGGAAGGGGCCCAGGAAAAAGGGAGGACCACGAAGGCGATGTGCAGCGTTGTGCCACCGGGTGGTCGGAAGCGGCCTGGGGTGGTAGTCCAATCCACGTCCAGGGAGCAGCCAGCAAGAGGCGCGGCCAGAGACAGGGCCGTCCGTGTCCGACTGGATGTCGGTGGAGTGCAGGGAGGGAACCTGACCTGCACAGTCAGCGCGTGAAGACGGGCGGGTGCCACACACGATGCGCTGACGTCCGCATGGCCGAAGGCCGGGCCTCAGCCGCGCAGCGCCAAGGCGAGCGGGGCCGCCGAGGCGGCAAGGTGCAGTGCCCAGCACCGGGCCGAAGCCGCGCTGTGCCAGGCGCTGCGTCGCGTCAGCCTGCACCGAGGGTGCTCACGTGGGGGGCAAGCCCCTATGGGTACAGGTAGGACACAAGGTCCCATTGCAGGTAAAGACAGGGCGTGCCACGCCAGTCGTCGATGCTCCAGTCCGCATCGCAGATGGGCACAGGTGGGACACAAAGTCCCAGATCCTTGAATACGGGAGGGGCAGGGGAGGAGAAGGAAAAGACGGGGTCCAGGTGGAATGGCAAATGGCCGAAGCCCGTGGAACGCGGGCGCCACCGGGGCAGTGGGGCGCAGGTGGGGGGGTAGAGGAGGACACACGGCCCCCAGCCAGGTGAGAGAGGCGGGGCGGGGGTCGGGGGCGCAGATGGTGGGAGCGAGGGGCTGGTTGCGTCGTGCTGCCGTAGGGCAAGGGGGGGTCAGGTCGACGGCTGGTCAGCGCAGCGGGCGTTTTCCAGTCCAGGTGTCATGGTACCCGGAGTTGCGCGTTTGGTCCCTTTCGCGCCCGTCACCCTTAGCGACCTCCCTTTTCCTTTTGTACGTCCTGGTATAGCCTCTGCTCCCGCCCCCAGTCCACGTAGACGCCTGCGCTGCGAGACCACGCCTCCACGTGATGGTTGTTGATGCTCATGTCATCCAGGAATGTGTCGATGATCCAATGTTGCCAGCGGCCAGGGTCGAAGGGGGCCTGGTCTTTGGATTTGCCTTTTGTCCTGCTCCTTGCACATGTGCCTGCACCACGAATACCAGATTGCGTTGAAGTGGTACCCCCCTTCCGCTTGCAGCCTCTTCAGGTGTGTGACTGCTGTCTCGTGTGGGAGGCGCTGCCAGCCAACGCGGAAGGTTGCCCGCGTCCGGCTGGTGTCGGTGTGGCGGCGATCGTCCTTGTGGTAAGAGATGCGCGATACTGGCTGGCGCCAGGGTGCGCTCCCTGCGCCCCTGCCACTGTCGTGGTTCTGGTCCCAATAGCGCTCCTTGGTTCTGTCCCAGTCCCTGGCGTCGTGTTTGCGCCACGGTGCCCCCGCTGCGCCCTGGTTGCGGTCGCGGTCGCGGTCGCGGTCGTGCTCTCCTGTGCGGGTCCGGTCGGCCTCTCTGGACTCGTACCTCACCGCCGTCGCGCACGACTCCCAGGCGATTGCCTCCCGCACTCTACCGCGCGAGCGCTCGAACTGGTGTGCAGGGAGGGGGGTGAGTGCAGGTCGTGGGTCCTCCAGGCCTTTGGACCGGCTCCGCGTGTGCAGTTTTCGGTCGTCGGCCGCGGCCTCTGGACGCACGATCGGCTCCGCGGGTGCGTGGGCGGCCCTCTGGTCAGTCCCACGTTGAGGGGGTTCAGGTCGCCTTCCAGTGGGACCAGTAGCTGGTCTAGGGGAGTTAGGGCCGTGGGTGCGGACGTCGGACACAGCCCTGGAAGGGCGCGCGTTGCTCGGACAGGCATGTCGTCGGGGCGGTCGTTGATTCAGCTCTTGCAGTCCACGTCGTCTGGAATGGGTTGCCGTTCGGCCATTGCCTTCGTAGTCCAGCAGCATATGCAAAGCCAGGTCAGGTCCTTCCCCTGGTAGTACTCCGTCAGCCTGTTGACGTTAATGGTTTGGCGAATTCGTTTGCTGACGTAGGCGCCTTTCTCGTGCTTGAAAGGGCCGCGCAGGCACCCTTGCCAGTAGAGTTCAGCCTTGTACTGTTCCTTCCTCCACCTGGTGTCTCGGTTGTCTAACCATGGGGGCCTGAGCGTCATTCCAGGGCGTGGCCCGAGCGGGGCGGGCGCGTCCAGGTGCAGGCGCGTGTATGAGTATCCTCCACCTATCCAGGTGACGCCGCTTGCCTGTTTAGTCGGGTCGTCGGTGAGGCCGATGCCGGATCCGATCACGTCGACGTAGAGTGCACATACGGCGCATTCGTGGCCCGCCAAAGCATTCACACACACACACACACACACCACACGCTTCGTGGCCCCAAGGGAGCTCCACCGAAGTCCTCAGCAGCAGGGTCCGCATGGCGGCCCCGCACCCATATCGGCACACCCCTCGCACGCTTGGTGGCCCATCAGGGAGCTCCACCGAAGGCCCCAGCGGCAGGGTCCGCATGGCGGCCCCGCACCCACTTCGGCACACCCCTCGCACGCTTCGATTTCCAATCGGGGACCTTCCCCTCCTTCGGTTCCAATTGCCTTGCGGCACTCGCGCCCGCGCCGTGGCCTGGGGCCTCGCCCGGGTGCAGAATGGTCAGACGGCCCGAGGCGCGCCGAGCTTTCTGAGGGAAGGCCCGCCCCTTCTCACTTCCCCCTCGGGCTCGCCACCGAGCCGAGGCTGGGAAGGCTCAGTATCATTCAACCGACCACCATCCCCATCCCCACCCCCTTCGAGACCCCTACCAAATGACCACCCCACATGGGATGCACCCCTCGAAGCCCGAAGGGAACGACCTACACCCCCATCTAGGAGGGCAACTCGGCCAGTCCACGCCGCTGGGAACCACTTCCCCCCTCGGTTTCGCCACCGAGTGTCAGAAGCCAGGCGAAGGCTGGCAAACCCGTGGCTGCTAAAACGGAGCTCTGGGAAATTGTGTTTTTTTCTTCCGGGAAGCAGCCCGCTGAGTTATTTTCCGGGAATATGTGCGTTTTTTCTTCCGGGAAGCCCGTTTTAGCAGCCACGGATTTGCCAGCTTTCGCCAAGCTTCCGAGAGTAGAGGTTGGGAAGGTTCAGGGTTGCTGACAGACAGCCCCCCAAGTAGTCCAGTTGGCCTCAACAGGCCCCCCGACTAGCCCAGGGCGGTCTCAACAGCGCCGCCTCCGGCGGCGCCGCTGGAGCGCTTCCGAGCGTTGAGGTTGAGACCGCCCCAGACTGTTCGGGGGGGCCTGTTAAGGCCAACCGGATTATCTGGAGGGGGCTGTCTGTGCGCAACCCGAAGCTTTCCCAGTAGAGGCGCTGGAGATGCGCGACGGGATCAAGACCGACTACATGGGAAAGGGCGTTCTCAAAGCTGTCGAGAATGTGAAGACGACGATCTCGGCAGGAATCTGCGGAATGGACGAGACGGATCAGAAGGCCGTGGACAAGAAAATGGTGGAGGAGTTGGACGGTTCTGTCAACGAGTGGGGCTGGAGTAAGGCCAAACTCGGCGCCAATGCCATCCTTGCCGTCTCCATGGCCGTGTGCAAGGCGGGTGCCGCCGCGAAGAAGGTGCCGCTGTACGAGCACATCGCGGCGCTGGCAGGGAATTCGTCGGAGGAGATGTACCTCCCAGTCCCCGCCTTCAACATCATCAACGGGGGTTCGCATGCCGGCAACAAGTTGGCAATGCAGGATCGGGGCTCGCGTAACGGGGGTTAGAACTAGTAACAGTCGGGGAAACGTACGACTCGGGTAAGCCGGAACTCGGGTTTGCCGAAGTTTGTGACGAGCGCGTCCTGGATTTTGATGGTCCAGTTTTCGTGGGATGTCTGCAGCGGGAGCCCGCCTCAAATGTCAGATTGGGTCTCGCATTTTTATGATGGCCCCCGTCAGGCCAACCCGAGTTCCCGGTACCCGAGTCTTACGTCTCCCCGAAACAGTGGCCAGTCAATCTTCTCCCAAATCCTCTGGCTGACCCGGATTTGTCAGGAGAGGAAAAAACACGGACACAATTCGCCGTCGACCCCTCCGGAAAATGTGTGAAGTGGCGGGGAAGACGAAGATCCAGAAAGCATGAGAAAATATATAGAGAATCCTGGGATGTGTGTGCATCTAGTTGTGTGTGTCCTTGGGCCCCCTCACTTTGGGAGCCACCTGGAGCCGACCCCGCTCCCCCGCCCTCCGCGGGCCTGGGCTCGGGAGCTGCTCCGTGGCCAGCTCTGGGCCCGCGGCCCTGGCTGGCCCCGGCTTGAGCTGACCCAGGTCCCGCCTCTCTCCTCCCTCCCCCCTCCCCCCCTCTGTTCTCTTCTTCCTCTCCCCCCTCCTCCCTCTTCTCTTCTTCCTCTCCCTCCCTCCTCCCTCCCCCCTCTTCTCTTCTTCTTCCTCCCTCCTCCCTCCTCCCCCCCCCTCCTCGTCCTCCTCCCGCCCCCGCTCCCGCTCCCGCTGCCCCTCCTCCTCCGCCGGGGCCTCTTCCTCCGCGACGTGGCCCTGGCTGGCCCAGGTTTGAGCTGACCCAGGGTATTGTTAAGTCGGGCCTGTCCATCTACAGGGGGGATATTCAAGAATAGTCCAAAAATAGTCTGGTGACCAATTTTGACTATGTTTGAAGATGGTGGGGTATCTTATATTTGTTCGCTCCAAGTCCGCTTGCAGGGGGACACGCCCGACCTAAGGTTGATGCGTCCCCGTCAGGAGTTCATGATCCTTCCAGTGGGTGCAAAGTCTTTCACCGAGGCCATGAAGATGGGAAGCGAGGTTTACCACCACCTCAAGGCCGTCATCAAGAAAAAGTACGGGCAGGATGCCTGCAACGTTGGCGACGAAGGTGGTTTCGCACCGAACATCTTGGCGAACGAGGAGGGTCTCAACCTCGTGGTCGAGGCCATCGAGAAGGCTGGGTACACTGGAAAGGTGAAGATCGGCATGGACGTGGCGGCGTCCGAATTCTACACCGAAGATAAGATGTATGATCTGGACTTCAAGACCGAAGGGGACGCCAAGGACAAGTCGCAGAAGATATCTGGCGATAAGCTCACTGAGATGTACAAGAGCTTCTGCGCGAATTACCCAGTCATCTCCATAGAGGACCCGTTCGACCAGGACGATTTCGATGCCTACGGCAAGATGACCACTTCTCTCGGGGTGAAGTGCCAGGTCGTGGGCGATGACCTGCTGGTGACTAATCCCAAGCGCGTCCAGAAGGCGATCGACGAGAAGGCCTGCAACGCGCTGCTGCTGAAGGTGAACCAGATCGGCTCGGTGTCCGAGTCCATCGAGGCGGTGGCCCTGGCCAAGTCGGCTGGCTGGGGCGTCATGACCAGCCACCGGATCGGCGCCACCCAAACATCTTGACACTGTGTGTGCGTGCGTCGCCCCCGAAGGGTTGGCGCGCGCGCCGAGAAATCTTACAGTGCGTGCCCGGTGGCGGGCGCTCGCTGACCGCGGCGCTCGAGGCCTCCCGGATGGGGTCGGAGGTGGGCGGGGGTCGGAGGAGCGCTTCCGCACCGCCGCTGCGGCTCGACGTGGAGCCCGATGTGCCGCTCGTCGACGTCGCCGATGCATCGCCCACCTCGGCGATGCATCGCTGGTGCATCGCCGATGCATCGGCGATGCGACGCCGTCCCCCGACCCCATCCCCTTCGATCCCGTCTGGGAGGCCTCTAACCGCTCGGGAAGCGAGACACTACGAGATGGATGTGCTGCACGTTCGGGTCGAGCGCACGCCCCCGAGGAGGACGCGCGGCCCTGGCATGTCCCTGCGGGTCCCACCGGAGGGCCCAGAGAGAGAGCGCAGGAAGCCCCTGCGCCTTCGACGAAGGCCGGCCTCGCCACGCCGGCGCGCAGCGCGCCAGGGGCGGAAGCGCGCGGGGCACGATGGCGGTGCGACCTGGGGCTGTCCGGGGGGGGCGGCGCCCAGCGCGTATGGCGGCACTCGTTCGGCAGCAGAGCACGGGAGCCTGGCATGCCTTCTCGATTCCGTCTTCAGCGTCGGGTAGCGTCCAGGAAGGAGCCGCTGAGACAGTGCCGATGGAGCGTCGATTGTTCGTCGAGCTGGCGTCGACTGACGTCGACTCGCGAGAGTCGACAAGGTGGCAGGGGAGGTTCCCACGAGTTGCCACCGAGCGGTGACTGTTGGATCCGGGGTGGTCGGAGTGGTGGCGTCCATCAGAGCGTGAACTACCTACCCCGCTTTCGCTTCCAGGCAAAACCAAGTCATACCACGCGCCTCCTCGTCAAGCGGCCTGACCAGTGCAGGCCGTACTTTGGCATCGTTTGGTATCTCTTGGAAGCGAGGGTGGTCAAAAGCGAGGTAGGTTTGTTTGCCCCCTAGTCCAGCGCGTATTGCGACACTCGGGGTACCCATGCCTGCACCGTTCCCCCCCTCTCGCTCGCGTGTGCCTCCTCGGGGGGGGCTTCGTCGCCGCGGCTGGGGTGCGTCTCCTCGGAGCCCACCCCCTCCTGCCTCTCGGCGTGGCTTCTCAAGCAGACGCTCCCCCGCCGAATTGCTCGAAGACGAGGGCTTCGGCTGACGCCCACAACGCACACCGCCACACGCACACGCCACATAGACACACAGACACGCGCGCTTTGGGCGTCGCGGCCCTGCGCGTGGCGACAGGGCGTAGAGTACAGACATGCACACACACACAAGCAAAAGCAGACCACATATCCAGTGACGTGCCCATCCCATCCGAAACAGTCACCGACATCAATGGGCCCATCGACGAAGAATGATGATGCGGCGAGGAGCTCGAATCATTATGTGCAGACTACATGGGTTGGCATAGGCGTTGCACGCCTCGCAGGACTGATAGGGACTGATATTAAGATATGCCAGGGGGCATGGACATGGAGGGCGACGATGACCTTGAGAAGGAACGAGATTGCGCAGTTGGCAACAACCAGGAAGGGCGAGGTTCCATGTGTGTCTGTCCCTGTATGACTGAATTCCATTGGCCTTCCCACATGCGTACGAAAATGGCGTTAGTTGTTAGGAATAGCACGCAGAACAGAATAATTGTGCGCATCTGTCCAAGACCGCAGTCCATTGGAACCCCCCACAAGCTCACGAAAGTAGCGGCACTTGCGCCACCCAGAAACAAGAGGATGATTTACATGTGAACGAGATCACATTCCTGTGGAACTCCTAGGTGATGGGCCTGTTTTCCACCACCACCACCATAGTTGGAGGGGGGAAAGGAGGTGGAGGACGAGGAGGAGGAGGACGAGAAGGACAAGGAGACGGAGGAGGTGGAGGAGGAGGAAGAGGTCCCCCTCCCCCTCCGACGTATGGTGGTGGTGGTGGTGGAAAACAGGCCCGTCACCAGAAGCCCGCGAAAAGCGAGGCCCCGCCCCATCGGGAACCTGACGGCGTGAGACCCCGCCCCACGGAGCCCGGCGGCAAGAGAACATTCGCCGCCTCTGGAAGCAGACTCCTGTACGGAACCCGCCCCGGTGTTGTCGCTTGCTTCTTCCTTGTGTTGCCGATCGGCGCGGGCCCTCGCCCCCCCCCCCTCCCCCCCCCAACGGAGAACAGTCAACCATGATGGTAGGGATGGGGCAGCTTTCCAAGGCTGCCCTTGCATCCTTGCCCCATTCGGTAGTCGGCATCCTTCGGCATTCTGCTGCGCTCCGCACAGAGAACGTCAACATGGCGTTCCAAGGCCTCTGCATCCTCACCGCGCATCCTTACTATCCTGGTCAAGTGTAGATCTTGGCTGTTTTGGGCGCCTGTTTCGAGCAGGTGGAGTCTCCCCCCGTTGGACGCACTGTTGCTAACCGTCGCACTAAGCAGAGGTCCGGAGCCAGACCTCCCCCCCTCCCCTCCTCCCGTTGCGCCCAACGTCGAAACTCCGAGCAAGAAAACGTTCTCTTGAGGTTTCGGGAGCAGATGTGCCGGCAGTTGTACCCCCAGGAGCGGCGAGACGGAGGATTCTTTCATCGCGGATCTGGCGGTCGGGCTGGGCACCGGCCAGATCAAGACGGGTGCGCCGTGCCGGTCCGAGCGGCTGGCGAAGTACAACCAGCTCCTCCGCATCGAGGCTGGGCGGCGGTCAGAAACCCGCGTGTCCAAAAGCTATATTGTCTCAATCCCAGTGATTCGGCGGCGAGCCCGGGGGGGAAGTGAAAAGGAGAAGGCCTTCTCAGAAGGTTCGGCAGTCCCCCGGCCTTCTGAGAAGTGCTCTAAGCCTTCCCCGAAGACAAAGACAACCTCCCAGAAGGCCAGAGATCTTGTGAGAAATGTCGCTGCTTTCTGAGAAGGCTTCCTCCTTCTCACGTCCCCCCCTCGCTCGCCGCCGATTGTCTCAATCCCAGCAGTTCCCTTGGAATTCGGCCAGCCTCAGGGGCAGCGTTGGGGTCTAGGGCTCCTGGATGGTCCGAGTAGATGGAGTCGGAGGATCGCGCCGCACCGCCGATGCATCGGCGATGCGGCTCGATGCGGAGCCCGATTTTCTCCACGCTGACGTCGCTGATGCATCGCCGACGTCGCCGATGCATCATCGATGCATCGTCGATGTATCGGTGATGCATCGGCGATGCAGCGCGATTATTCGACCCCATGTGTAGGGGAACGAATGACATCAACATGAAAACTCTGAGGCCCGCGCGGATTTCTCGGACGCGCGCTGGACCCCCCTGGCGGCGCCTCCGGCTCCGCGCGCCAGGGAGGGGGTGTCCAGCGCCGATCCGAGAAATCCGCGCGGACCTCGGAGTTGTTATGTTTATGTCGGTCTTCGTCCCCCTAATTTGCTCAGACCCCTCTAGGATTAGGTCGGGCATGTCTCCATACAGGCGGATTTTGGACAAAAAAAAAAAACATACTCCAAAATATGCCAGGGGTGTCAAAATTTCAAAATTAGTCTAAAAATCGTCCCCCGACCAGTTTTTGATTATTTTCCCCACATCCCAAGTGGGCCTCTTGTTTCCTCTGCACACCCTCCGCGCAGGATCACTCCTCCTCCTCCCCCCTCTCTCTCTCTCTTTCCCTCTCTCTCTCTCTCTCTCTCTCTCTCTTTTCTATATCTCTCTCTCTCTCTCTCTCTCTCTCTCTTCTCCCTTTGCATATTCACTCAATCACTCACACACACACACACCTTCATCACCCACTCTCACTCACTCACGCACACTATCATCACCATCGTCGTCATCACTCGCACATTCACTCATTTACACATTCATCATCATCATCACTCACTCATTCGCCCACTCACTCACCCACCTACCCACCCAAGCGGGAGCCTCGTCTGTGAGTGAATTGCGAGTAACTCTCAGGCGGGAGCCCCCTCCCTATGGGACCCGCATTTCGTGTTGGCAATCCGAGCAGGTCATCGGAAACCTGTAGCTGTCGTCACGTCTAGGCTCCTCAGGCCTGAATTTGAAGGAAAGCTCAGGCGGGAGCCTAGTCTATGAGTGAATTGCGAGGAAGTCTCAGGCGGGAGCCCCCTTCATGGGGTCCGCACTTCACGTTCGTATTCCGAGCGGGGCATCAGAAACCTGCAACTGTCCTCACTTTTGGGCTCTTCTGCTTTGAATTCGAAAGAAATCTCAAGCGGAAGCCTCGTCTGTGAGTGAATTGCGAGGAAGTCCCAGGCGGGAGCCCCCTCCCTATGGGGCCCGCACTTCATGTTGGTAATCCGAGCGGGCCATCGGAACCTTGCAACTGTCGTCACGTGTGGGTTCCTCTGGCTTGAATTTGGAGGAAGTCTCAGGCGGGAGCCTCGTCTGTGAGTGAATTGCGAGGAAGTCTCAGGCGGGAGCCCCCTCCCGATGGGCCCGCATTTCATGTTGGTAACTCGAGCAGGTCATCGGACCCCTATAAGTTTCGAGGGGGGGGTCCTGCACGGTTGAGTTTCGTGTCGCCCCCTGCCTGAGCGCGGCGGCGCTTACCTCGAGGCCCGCGAGGTTGTCCCAACGGCCTGGCCCGCGGGGTTGCCCCGACGGCCTGCCCCCGCGCCCCAGCGGCCCGCAGGGTTGCTCCAAAGGGATGGCCCGCGGGGTGGCCCCAAAGGCTTTGTGATCCAGCCGTCTGCCGTCGGCGAACGCGCGCGTGCTGGCCGAGGAGGCGACGGCGCCGAGGAAAATCGATCTGCTTGCTCCGACCAGTGGGAAGGGGAGGTGCACATGGTGGAGAGGCAGGAGGAGGAGGATGGGGGGGGAAGGGGTAGAGGGAGGGCGATGATGAGGAGGATGTGGAGAAGGAGGAGGAGGAGGATGAACAGGAGGAACAAGAGGAGGAGGAGGAGGAGGAAGAGGAGGAACAGGAGGAGGAGGAGGGGGATGGGGAGGAGGAGGAGGAGGAGGAGGAAGGGGAGGTGGAGAAATCGCATAAGGTGGAAGGGAGGGCACAGCAGAGGGCGAGAGGTGGATGTCCGCCTGGGCGAGAAGGAACAGGCGAAGGGCAACCCAAAAATATTATCATGCGGGGTCATACCGTCTGAGTAATTGAATATTCCTCCTGTAGAGGGACATGCCCGAGTTCAAATCTAGGATGCTTCTTCGGGGGCAGCGCATCGACCCCCCCAAAGAATCGATCGCCCCTGTGCCTCGCCGCTGGGTGGGCCCCGACGAGAGCCCGGGCCGCCCCGGAGCGCGCGGTTTGTCCTGCCAGGGCTTAGACCGGGCAGATCCCCCTACAGGAGGAACGCAGTGGAGGCCCATGCCAAGAATTTGGTTTGGTTTTTCCTCCTACAGGCGGATTCTGGAGGACAAATGAAAACACACATTAATATATTATGTCTTCTCATGTTGTACATATCTTTTCATTTAAAAAAGGACCTCCGGGTTGTTGTGTTTCTGTCATTCTTCGTTCCCTTCATTAGCTCGGACCCCATCCAGGAGGCCTCTATCAGGGAGCGGCTCAGGGGGCAGCGCACCGACCCCCCCCAAAGGATCGCCCCTTGGCTTCGCCGCCAGGGGGGCCCGAGGAGAGCCCGGGCCGCCCAGGAGCGCGCGATGTTTGTCCCACCTGGGTTTAAGCCTGGCAGGTTCTTCTACAGGAGGAGTACCCAAGAGCAGTTTGAACATAGTCTGGGGACGATTTGTCGTGTTTCTTTGGCTATGTATGATTTGTTGTGTCACTATGTGTTCCGTTCTTTTCCATCCGAAGGCTTACAGTGGAGGCCCACGCCAAGAATTGGGTCGGGCATGTCCTCCTACAGGCAGACGTTGGAGGAACAATTAAAGATAGCCCGTAGATTGGAGGAACAATAAAATATCGTCAGAAGTACATTGAAATATAAAACAAAAGCAGTAGAAGCATTGCCCCCCAGACTATTTTCTGACTATGTTTGAACATTCCTCCTGTAGGGGGACATGCCCGACGTAAGCCAAGAAACACCTTGCTTGCCTCCAGGGTGCCCTGGGTTTCTTGGGTTTCGATGATTTTGCGATGGAGGGCGCGACGTTCCACGCCAAAATTTGATGGACGTCCTAGGGTCTCAGGGTTAGGTTTCTTGTGGAAGGTTTCTTGCGGTCTGGCCTCCACTGTATTCAAGCGTAGCGCAAAAATAGTATGTGGACGATGCGTCGTGCTCGTTTTTTGTTTATGTATGATTTACAATGTATTGGATGTGTCTGACTTTCCTTCCAACATCCGCCTGTAGGAGGACATGCCCGACCTGAAGTAATGTGCGATTGTCTGATCAGGGGCTCATCCACGATCTATCGGCGGTGCATCGCCGATTCCGTGTCGGCGTTTCCCCCCCCCCCCATTGAGTTGCCCACCCCTCCTCTCTACCATCGCCCCTCCAGAACTCGGCCAAAACAGGGGCCGTGCTCGGACCCCACGAACATCCAGCGACCGGGGGCACGAGGCTCCCAAGTCTTGACGCTTCGCGTATCCCCTCCAGCCCATCCTGAAACGAGGCCTTGGCGAGCTGCCTTGATCAGGGAAGCGGCGGAGCATGCAGCGGATCCAGAGCTGGGGTTGCCGTCAAATAGAGGTCTTGGGTCAGCCTCCGCAGAGTCAGGAGCGGGCCGTATGCGCCTTCGCAGTCCTATAGAATGAGGAAAGGCGGGGAAGAAGGACGAGGGGGATGAGGCAGAGGAGGAGGAGAAGGAGAAGGAGGAATTGGAGGAGGAGGAGAAAGAGGAGAGGAAGAAGAAGAGAGGACGACAACGAGGAGGAGGAGAGGAGGAGGAGGAGGAGGCGGAGGATAAAGAGGAGGAGGAGGCGGAGGGTAAAGAGGAGGAGGGCGAGAAGGAGGAGACGGGGAAGGGGAAGGAGGGAGGAGGGATGAGGGGGAAAGAGGAATAGGCGGATGAGGGGGAGGAGAAGGAGAGGAAGAGGATAACGGCGAGCTTGGGCGCCTATTGAGGCGTCTTGGCCTCGTGGCGGTCCCAGGCGCCTCTTAGAGCGTCGTGGGTGCCTCGTGGGGGCATCTTGGGGCCTCCTTGGCGCCACTTGGGGCCCTATTGGGGCGCTCTTGGGGGCTCAGAAGCCCTCTTGGAGCCATCTTGGAAGAGCTCGAGAAAAGAAGGGGGTTACTTAATGAGCCTCCCCCCCCCCCTTTGGAAGCACCCAAAATCGCCTCTTGGGCACCTCTTGGAGCGCTCTGGGGCGCTTTGGGGGCCGTAATGGGGCTCTATTGGGCCTCTCTTGGGGCCCTCTTGGGTTCTCTTGGAGCCATCTGAGGGCCTCGGAAGGCCATCGAAAGCAAAAGGGCGAGAAGGCAAAGTTCATTGATGTGCCATAGGTTGTTGTAGGAGTTGGGCCTCTCGGCGGCCTCCGTGAAAGGCTCCGTGGCAATTTGGAGCCGCCTTGGAACAGTCTTGAGGCCTCTTGGAGCATCTTGAAAACCATTTGAGTTAGTGTGGGCTATCTTGAGCCATCTTGGAGCTCATCTTGCGCTCTCTGAGGCGCTCTTGGATCCACCATGGGCCCAAGGGACCCTCTGACACCTCGCGAAACAAAAACCCTCCAGGTCCAGGGGAAGGGGTACTCCCAGAATGGGAGAAGGGGGGTTGGAAAAGAAACCGCCTTGGACCACCTACGCCCAGAGGGCTGGTGGGACTGTCAGACCATGTACACACCCAAAACCGACCCAGGCCAGGCCGGCCCCGGGCCCAGGCTGAGCCCTGCCAGGATCGGTGTTCGGGAGCGGAAAAGAGCGGGGTGACGACTAGGGGGGGGTGGGTATCATGGCGGGGGCCATGATATTTCCCCAGATGTCATGGCGCCCCTTCTTATTTCATTACGTCCCTGGCCCCCCCGCTGGGCCGCGCACATGCCGCCGGTCATGATTTGCACCCGCCCCTCTTGGACCCCCCCTCTCGGCCGCTCCCGAGGTGTGGGCGTGTAGCTGGCGCCCTCGCACACCGGGAGAGGGGAAAGGGGTCACGGTGGAGACCCACGCCAAGAAGCAAGCTTCGGGTGTCGATGGTTCTGCTAGGGAGAACATGGCGCTCCCACAGCAGAATTCGGTGGACGTCCTGGGGTCTTAGGGCTGAGCTTCCTGTGGGAGGCTTCTTGTAGACTGGCCTCCATCGAGACCTCCCTGGGGGCCCGCGGGCTGGCAGAGCCGCATCGTCGGACGCCTGAGAAGGGGCTGCGCGGGGGCAGGCGGGGATGCGAGAGGGTGCCGCTTGCGGACGGCCTCGGATCCACCACCGGGCACCGCGGTCGTTCCCGGTGCGCCGAGGGGCCCGAAGAGCAGAGCGTGTGCCAGTTGATTCGCGAGCTACCTTCTGCTGCTCCTGGAAAAAGAAGAAGAGGAAGAGTAATAATGATAATATACATGGTGTTGCAATTAAGAACTGCATAATCTTAAGCTCTCAACGGTCCCCGCGGATCTCTTGGATCTGCGCTGGAGCCCCCTGGCGGTGCCTCTGGCGCCGCTCCGCGCGCCACGGGGGTTCAGCGCCGATCCAAGACATTCGCGCGGACCGTCGAAAGTTTACAGTGGGGTCCCATGCCAAGAAACACCCGGTTTGCCTCCATGGTGCCCTGGGTTTCTTGGGTTTCGATGATTTTGCCGTGGAAAGCGTGACGATCCCATACCACAAATCAAAGGACGCCATGGGCTTCCAGGGTTGGGTTTCTTGTGGAAGGTTTCTTGTAGACTGGCATTCACCATATGTTCATGCAGTCTTTCCCTCCCCCTACACACGGAATGAATTACGAGTTTTCGGAATCGGTACGCCCCGTCGCCAGATCGGGCGGCATAGGCTTCAAACCCTACCCCTGCGGGTCCAATCGGCGTCCGGGTATCGGACCCCCGCTCGGGTTCACGTGCCTGCAGGCACCATTCGAAGCCTGCGCCTCAGCCGGTGTTCCAGAATGCTGACAGGCAGAGCTAGGGTTCACGTGGGGTCGCCTGAGGAGGAGCTGGGCGCGAAGGGGAAGTACACCGGCGACGAGTACAGGCTGCCCAAGGTCCGCCGCCTGAAGTGAGCGGCGCCCGCGAGCGGCGCCCCACGGCCGTTGCCTCGCAGGGAGAGCAGGTGCTCCCCAGCGGCACGGCCCGGCAGTGCTGCCAGAAGCACTCGGTGCCTCTGGGCCTCGCGGATGGGGTCCGAGCAGATGGGGTCGGAGGTTCGCGCCGCATCGCCGATGCATTGGCGATGTGCCTCGATGCGGCGCCCGAGCTTCTCCACGCCCACGTCGCCGATGCATCGCCGACGTCACCAGTGCATCACCGACGCACCGCCGATGCATCGGCGGTGCCTCGGCGATGCGGCGCGATCCTGCGACCCCATCTGCTCGGACCCCACGTAGGAGTCCTCTGGTCCCGCCGTTGCGGCGCCCATTGCGTCAGAGCTGCAGTTGCGGCAGGTTCGCGACGGGTCGGCGCGGCGGCGACGCCGGCGCGGGCGCTCAAGGCTGAACGCCGCCGGTGGCGCGGAGTTGGCCGATCTCGAGCGATCTGCGCCGTCGGAGGGCCGCGATCGCTCGAAGCTGGGCGGTGGTCCGCGCGGCGTCGGAGACCGACGCCAAGGTCGTCGCGGCACAAACTTGCCGTGTCCTTTGCTTCGGGGTCGTGCCCCAGGACGTCCAGGCCGCCCCTGCAGGCGGGGAAATATACATGTCCGTCGCTGCCCAGGGACCTTGGCAGGACTCCAGAGCTTCTGGACACAGATGCTGCGCGGCGGCGCGCGACTGGGCAAGTCTTTGTATGTACCCCGACCTTGGTGGAGCCGGGCACAGGGCTACCCATCGTTTCTAGCGGTTGCGCTTTGACGGATCGTCTTGTTGAGGAGAAAAATGAAGTGTCCATAGCCCTCCACCAGGACAGATATGGGGGCTCTCAGGGCCTTCCAAGGGCTCCATGGGAGCAGCCAAAGAGGGCGACCATGGTGCACGCGACCCTCTGCAAGGAACTTGCGCCTAGGGGGTCTTACTCGGTCTACAAGGAACTGGTCGTGGGTGCCGGTCTGGGCGGCTTGTTGTCGCCGCCCGTCGCCGCCGTCCGTCGTCGCTGCTTCTGGGCCTGGGTGTCGGTCGCCGCGTTTGTCGTCGCCGTCGTCGCTGCCGTCCGTCGCCGCTCCACAGCACCTGAGAGTCGGTCGCCGCGGTTGTTGTCATCGTCGCCGCCCGTAACCGCCTCGTCGCCGCCCGTCGCCGCCGCCCCGCTGCACCCCCCGCCCCCCCGTTGCATTGCGGTCGATTGCATTCGACTTCATCACATAGATTACATCACATAGCTTACACGTAACACCACGCAGTCTACACCACGTAGCTTGAGGCGCTGCCGAACGGGGGCCTCTGGTGCAGTGCATGCGGCGCGGCCTGCTGGGCATGATCCTCCACGTGTGGGCGCCAGCGCCTGCGGCCCCCTGCGCCCCCGCGGGCGTGCGCGGCGGGGCAGGAGATCATGGCCTTGCTGCGCAGGGGACCGGGCAGCCGCGTGCCGGCGGCGGAGGCGGAGGGGCCCGACGCCGAGCTTTTCGTGCCGATGCGTGGCGGCGTCCCGGTGGACGAGGAGGTGTGCGGCAAAGGCGCAGACTTTGCCGATAGCGGGGGGCCTCCGGAAGCTCCGGGCGTCTGGGGCGACGTGTACGGCGGCGATGTGGGCGGTGGCTGGCTGGCGGCTAGGAGCCCTGTCAGGCCGCGGTCGTGCTGCGGCGACCGCGGCGGAAAGCCGCTCGGCACGGCGTTCCGCTTCGAGGTGCTCGGCGGCGACGAGGCGCTGGCGGTGGATGTGCAGGACATGCCCCCCATGCGGTGCCTGCTCGCAGGCATGGAGCTGGGGGCGGGGGCTGGCCGTCGGAGCGGGCGGGGCGGCGTCGGGGTGCCCGCGAGGGCCGTGCCACGCGCTGGGATGCCGCCCAGGTCTTTGCCGCCCGCACGGCCGTCTCGTGGGTGGAGGCTGCGGCGGAGCGGCCTGCGCGTACGTTTACAAACAGGCCACGTATAGGCCGACAGTCGGTTTTTGCCTACCCCGCGCATCGGCCTCTCAAAGGTCAACGCGTGGCTTCTACACATGTCTACCATAGGTCTACGGGCAGCGCACGCCCAGATTTATGATAGATCAGTTCCAGGTAGCCAAGCGCTGCATACACCTGTACATAGCACTCGCGCTTGCGTACCATAAGCCTGCGCAGAGGCTACGCCTAGGCGCAAGGCGGGCCCCAAGTAAGCCAGTAGTGGGTCGACGCCCCGCGATGGGCCTGCGCACAGCCTGCGCATTGGCCTGCTATAAGCTCACGCACAGGTCCAGAATGGGCCCACTGTGAGCCGGCGCCCCTCGATACGCCTACGCACAGCTTGCGCGTAGACCTGCCATAGTCCCATGCACAGGCCATGGCTGGGCTCGCGGTCGGCCCATCTGGGGGCCTTAGGCGGACAGATAGGGCGCCGACGCCCTGCGATAGGCCGATGCGCGGCCCGCGCGTAGGCTTATCACACGCCTGCGAAGAGGCGATGCATAGGCTCATGGTGGGCCTCTGGTGGCTGCATCGTCTCATGCGTTGCCTCCACTCCACATAGGCTATGCATTGGCTCATGGTGAGCTCCACGAGTAGGCTCGTGACTTGCGAACTCAAGCGAATAATCGTGGATTGAGGCCATAAGGGTAGCATCGTGGCTCGGGAGTTAGAAGAGGTCTCAAGTGAAGAGTTGCGACTTCGGGCTTCAGGTTCTGAATCGAGGCTTCGGGCACCAAGTGCAGAGTCCCGACTTCGGGCTTCAAGTGAAGAGTCGAGACGTGTGGCCCCGAGGCTACACTCTTCACTCGGAGCCTCGAGTGAAGAATCGAGGCTTGGGGCCTAGTGGGGCGGTAGAGGCCGACGCTCCGCGAGTGGCTTTCGCATAGCCTATCCATCGGTCTGTGGTGGGCTTAGGCATAGTTTACGCATAGGCCTATGGAAGGGCCATGTTTAGGCAATGCGTAGCTCCATGCGTAGAATCGCGACCTGGGGCCCCAAGTAAAAAAATCGAGGCTTGGGTCTCCAACTGAAGCATCGAGACTTGGAGGCCCAAGTGAAGAAATCGAGACCAGGTGCCCCGAGTGAAGAATCGTGATCTGGGGCCCCGAGTGAAGAATCGAGACTTGAGGCCCCAAGTGAAGATTCGGTCCTCCCCCTCCTCCTCCTCCTCCTCCTCCTCCTCCTCCTCCTCCTCCTCTTCCTCCTCCTCCTCCACTCGGGACCCAAAGCGAAGAATGGTGATTTGGGGCCCCGCGTGCGGAACCGCGCCGCGGGGCCCCCCTTATCGAGGAATCGAATCGCGGGCGCGCACGCGAAGGATCGAGGCTCGACGCTCGAAGATAAGAATCGAGACTTCGGGCACAAAGGGAACGATCGCAACGCCAGGCCCCAAGCGAAGAACCGCCACGTGGGACGCGCCATTGAGGACACGAGGCTCGAGGCCCCAAAGGGAAGCATCGAGACTCGGGGCCCAAAGCGAAGACTCCAGATTTGGGTCCTGCGGCGGGGATCTTTTGGGACCTGGGACCCCCACCGAGGGCTTGCAACTGGAGGCTCCAGGCGAAGAGTCGAGACCAGGGGCCTCCGTGAGGACTCGAGGTGTGGGGCCCCGGGTCGGCGAGGCCGCGGCACCCTTCGGGCGATCGCGGGGGACTGGACAGGCACTCGATCAAGAGACAACAAACACAGCATCGCATCGCGCAGCGAACTTCCTTCTCTGTCTCTTTTGTTTCTCTCTCTCTCTCTCTCTCTTTCTCGTGCTCTGTCTCTGTCCTGTTGCTTCTGCTGCCGCCGGCTAACTTGATATTCTCGACGCCGCCACGCTTCCTCCGCACCTTCGCTGCCTTTTCGACGTTCCATTCTGCGGTTGTCAGCTGCTTTCTCCCCGCCCGCCCCCCGCCCGCCTCCTGGTCCCCGTCCCCACGGTTACGACGCAGCACTGCGGCTGTCAGCGGCTTTCCCCCCGCCCGCCCCCCGCCCGCCTCCTGGCCTCCGTCCCCCACGCCCGCTCCCCTCGTGTTTTCCTCCAATATTGTGCGACTGTCAGTCGCCCCCAGTGGCTCCCCTGCCCAGCTCTCCCTGCCCACGCGCACTACGGCTGTCAGCTACCTTCTCCCCCCCCACCGCGGCCCGCTTCATGGCCGCCACGGCCCAGCGCCTAATACCGCCTCGCCGCGTGTGTGCTGGGGCCCTCCCGCCGCGGGCCGCGCCTCGCCGCCCCCACCCTCTCTCTGCTGACGCCGGCCCCCCCCCCCGGTCCTCGACGACCCTCTGGGGCGTCGCGGCCGGCGCCGGCGGCCCCGCTCCGGCGCGCGTGGCCTCGGGGCTCCCTCGGCCCACCGCGCCGCCGCCCCTGCCCAGCTGGGTGCCTGCTGTCCCTGTTCGGCCTCGCTGGTCGCTCTGGGGCAGGCCGTTCGCCCTCCTCTCTGGGTGCCCCTTGCCGTTTGGGCCCTCCTCGGCTCGTGGGCACCGCTCGCCCGTTCGGGGTCGTCGGACACCTTGTCTCCCCCGTGCCGGTTGGGCCTCGCCGCCACGAGTTTGGTGATGTTCCTGGCGTTCCTGGTGTCCCGCCGCCTCGCTGTCCGCGCTCTGCTTGGCACTCTCCTTGCCCCACCGCCGCGGCTCCCGCCTTCTCCGCTCTCCTTGCACGTAAGGGTTCCCTCACGGTCGTGCCTCTTGACTACCCCTGGCGAACCGGAGTCCTCCGTTGGGCGCCTGCACGGGTTGCCCTCCTCAACTACGTGACTGTGGTCATCGCCCCTTTCGATTAAGCGGACGTGGCCTTCGGGAACTAGGGCTCGAATTACCTCGCCATGTTGGCGCTGCACGCGGACCAGATCCACCTCCGGGTCTCTTACGGCATCGGCGTTTTCGGCCTGTCCTCAGCGTCCTCTTCGCCTTATGAGTCGCAGCGTAGTTCGCTGCTGCGCGCTTAGTGCCTAATTTAGATCTTGGCGCGGCTGCCTCGCTTCTGGACGGCGCGCGGTTGGACCGTGCCGCTCGCGGACAACAAAAAAATATCCCCACCAGCGGCGCCCAATTTAAATCGTAGCGCTGCTTTGACGGCGCGCGGTTGTGCCGTGTCGATCGCGGATCCAAAAAATATCCCAACCAGCGTTTTGCCCAGCCACCTGGCGGCCCCCGGCAGCTCTTGCAGCTTCGGCCCTCGGCGCAGCCCAGCGTCCCCCGCCGGAAACTCTGAGTTGCGCGGTAGGTCAATTAGATACGCTGGTAGCCCGAGCCGACCTGTGACGCCGCCGGTGCCTTCGCCTGCGGCTGCGACAAAATATCCCCACCAGCCCATCCAGAAACGATGCCCATGAGAGCTAACGGAGGGGAAAGGAGGCACGCACAGTCACACAGCGAAGGAGGCTTGGGAGGTTCCGTGGCCATCTCGAGCTGCCTTGGACCGGTTTTGGGGCCGTTTGGAGCATCTTGGAAACCATCTTGAGCCAGTTTGGGCTGTCTGAGCCATCTTGGAGATCATTCTGGGCTCTCTGAGGCCGCTCGGGGGCCTCTTGAGGGCCTTTTTTTTGTTTTCGGTTGCCTTTTGGAGGCCTCTTGGGGTTTCTTGGGCCGTTTTGGGGGCCCTCATGGGGCTCTCTCGGGAGCCCTGGAGGGCCTGTTGGGGCCATCTTGGAGGCGGTCGATCAAAAAAAGGCGGTTCTTTTTATCTCGGTCCCCCCATCGGGGGCCACGATCCTCGTGAGGGGTGGCAAGAAATGGCCCTCCCAGGGGCCGAAATTGACGATCTAACTCGTCGCGACCTCCCCCCGTCCAGGTCCAGGGAAGGTGGGGGGAGGGGTAAACCTTTCCCCGAAGGGAAGAGGGGTTGTGGAAGAGGAAAGAGACCTTCCTTAGACCACATGTCGCCCAAGGAGCTGGTGGGATTACGTACGGCGCTGTGTATATATGCATCTACTTGGGGAGGGTAATAGAGGCCCAGAAGCCACGGCCTCGAACCCCCAATTTGGGCACACCCCCCCTGGGGCAGCATCCTTGGGGCGTTCCCCAGCCTCTCAAAACAGCACTCGGGGGGCTCCAAAAACGCCCGCGATGGTTTCCAGACTGCCCGAAGGGTTGCCAAGAGCACCCAAAATCGCCCCAAAGGAGCCCCAAGACCACTTAGGATAACTTCCCGGCGGCTCCGGAGGTCTCCAAGACGCTCCGAGAGAATTTCGAAGGGCTCGGAACCTTAATAGGCCAAAACCGTCTCATTGCCGAAAGGAGCCAAACTTGTTTAACACGTGTACCATTTTGGTTTTCGCAGCGTCCACGGCCCATCTGCTTCCTTAAGAGCGCCCCGTGACGGCCTCATAGGCCCCCAACGAGGCACCAAAGCTGCCCAAGCGAGGCCAAATACAGCCCACGAGGCGCCCAAGACGGCCCAAGAGATCCCCGGTAGGGCATTTAGAAGGGCCTAAACAGGAGGATTCGAACTCACATGTCGAGCCCCCCGCCCCAAAGAGACCCCGACACCGCCAGCAAGCCCCCAAGATGCCCCCAGGACGCCCAAAATAACTTCCAAGAGGCCCCGTATACGGCCCCGCAGCGGCCCAGGGAGCTTCAAAATTGTTTCCAAAACTCTCACCACAGAGGCTTCCCAAGAGACCAGAGCATGTATCTAAGAGGCCCACAACCCAGGAACGGTGGCGGCATGTTCCTGTCCAGCCTTCTACATTCGGCCCCAGGCCATCCCCGAGCCAGCCACACGAGGGTCCCAAGAGACAATCCCCAAGAGAGAAACAGCACGCCTCAAAGATCCCACACAGTCGCCTCGCGATAGCCACGATAGCATCGAGTTGTCCAACGACACTTGCTGGACGGCCCAAGGAAAGCTGAAGAGGGCCCCAGAAAACCAGGATGGAACCCAGATTCTACAAGGTAGCCCCAGCATGGAACTGTACATACTCCTCCTCCGCCTCCTCCCCCTTGTCATCGTCGTCCTCCTCCTCGCCGTGTGATTCACATCATGAATGGGGGGAAGAACGTTCGCACGAGGAAGAATCGCCTTGTGGGCCTCGCGGCCTCCGTGCCTTCTGGCTTCTTGGCCTCGCACAGTCTGGGCACCTCCTTGGCGGGGCGGTGTTCGGCGCCTGTGCGCCTGCGTGTCGCACGGCCGCACGCTGCCGTGCGCCAGGAGGCTTCGCACGGCCGCGCGCTGCAGGGCAGCAGGCGGTTCTCGGGGCCGTGCGCTGCGAAAGCAGCAGGTGGTCTCCTCTCGTGCCGTCAGGGTGGCCGGTTGGTTGGTGGGTTGCGCGCGGGGGCGCGCCGCATGGTGTTCTCCGCTGGTCGGTTGGCCGGTTGGTCGCCGCGTGCGCTACGGTCGGCTCCGCGCGGCCACGTCGCAGGGGAGCGGCGCGCTGGTCCTGCGCGCGCGCCGGTGCACGGGAGGTCTGCGACAGAGAGCGGGCCATCCGTGTTGCTGTAAGGCCCGTGCCGCATGCCTGGGTGGTGCGCGCAGGCCGCGGGGGGGGGGGGATAGGGAGGGGGAGGGTCTCTGCTTTTCCCGCCAGGGGCCCTCGCCGGACGGTGCCGCCGCTCCTCGGAGCCACGTCGTTGTCGTCCGTTCGTTGCTCTCTTGGCTCGGGCCCTGCGCATCAAGGCTTTGCCACGAGTGGTTTGGTGGTTGTGCTGGGCGCT